AAATTGGTCCACGCGATGTATCTAGTAACTCTGTGGTTGTCTCGAGGAGGGATATTCCAGGAAAGGCAGGAAAAGTTTTTGGAATATCAATGGAGCCATCAACATTAGTGGCGTATGTAAAAGAGAAGTTGGATGAGATCCAATCATCGCTTCTAGAAAAGGCGTTATCATTCAGAGATAGGTACTCTTTTTGTTTATCTTTCTCCCGCAAACATACTCAAATAAATGTTACGGTATTAATTTGCACATATTCACATTTTGATATGATTGTGCAGTAACATTGTGGATGTGAACTCATACGATGAGCTCAAAGACGCCATTTCTTCAGGGAAATGGGCAAGAGGTCCTTGGTCAGCCAGTGACGCAGATGAGCAAAGAGTAAAAGAAGAAACAGGAGCAACCATTCGTTGTTTCCCGTTTGAACAAACTCAAGGGACCAAAACATGCCTAATGACTGGAAATCCAGCAGAAGAAGTTGCTATCTTTGCCAAGTCATACTAAAGAAGGTCCTTTCACTTTCACACATTTCCCAATCATATCAATTCTATATATTAAAAAGGTCCAAAAGTGACAATAGATTCTGTTTCCGTGGTTATTGGAGTGGAGTGATTGTAGTCTTTTGGTCAGATCTATGGACCCTCTCTGGTAGTACAGAATTAGATGCTACTTTGGTCGGAGATTCTTTTGATGAAAAGCCGAGGAATCACGTCCGTTGATCCGTATAGAGGAAGCTCTAGGGTCTTTCCCAATTCTAGTTCATATTTTGTTTTGTTTCGCAATTGCAATATAATATGTTGACTTTTCATTTATTTATTGTCTGCGTTTTGATAGTTTAATGTGGAAAAAAAAACAGTGAAAAAGAATAACAAAAATCTCATATTTTGTAAAAAGGCTTGACCATTTTGCTATCGACTTCGTTAGTTATGACGTAAATGATGTTTAAGATAATTTTATCGAAACTTCATGTCCACTTTTTAGTCGGTAGTTGTTCTACATTTTCTATTCAACTCTATCCTATGCTTTACTCATATTTATCTTAATTTTCATAAACTTATCCTTGCATGAATTGTTTGTTTGGACGTTATGAAATATTTCATGAGTGATCAAAATATTGTCATGCGACAAGGGATTGATCGAGTCTCTGAAATAAAAATGTTGAGAGAAGTAATATCAATCCTTGGCAAAATAATTTGAATATGATTTTGTAACCCACATTGCATATGGTTATTGGCTTGAATTTTTCATTTCTTTCGATCTCTTCGTCTTTAGGATAAGATATATGATTTTCAGATTTGACTGTTCATCCTTTCATTTATTGGATTATTCACCATCTTCGCTAAATCCTTTTCAATATCATCCTTTCAAGAACGTTGATAGTATAACAATGTCATACCATCTGGACCATAAGAGTTTTTAGGATGCATCATTTTGAACCTTTTTAATGTTGTTTGTAATTCTGTTATGTTATTTTTACTATAAGAAATATTTTCGTTCTGTCATCCCTCTAAAAATTGAATTACGATAGTTACTAAATAATCTAAGATATTTAATCTAATATAGTTTCTTAATTATATAGGTTACTTTCATTATTTTGATTTCGTTGATTTTATCAACATTATGTAATGCAGATAGATGAGAGTTCGATTCCAAGGTCGATCGTTTAGGGCCTTTAGGCAGACCTTTAAATCAAATTTTCTTTTTTATATAGACAATATTCTTCGAGATTGGGCATTAAGATTTGGATATCGTAATTGATTAGTTTTCAGTATTTTTGTATGGACAAAATCATGGTAACATTCGTATTTGACTAGTATTAAATCTGATGCATTTTGTTTCTATTTATCATCATTAAGTTTATTGCATTCAATCAATACAATAAAGAGTTCACTTAAATTCCAAGACATGTATTATTTCAAAATTGCATAACAAATTACAAAACATGCTGGAATTCATTTAATATTATTGTATTTTGAATTTTATGTAAAAAATGTGACAAAAGCAAAAAACCATGTAGGTTGTCAAAAAATTGTAAAATTTTAATTATAGTTGACTTCATTTATTTGAGTATATTGATTTATTAAAATCAAGATAACATTGGTATTTGGTATAATACAAGTCTTGGAATTTAAATGGACTCTAAATTTTAATAATAAATTACAAAATTTAATAGTCAAATATGAATGTTACTGTATATATATATATATATATACATATAAATATTCTAGAAAATAATTACAAATAAACCAATATTCTAGAAAATATGGCAACACAAATTGTAACATTAAAATTATAGTTGAATTTTATTTATTTATTTTTATAAGAATCACATTGACATTTGTGTTTGGTATGTGATAATTAGTTTTTATAATCTCCATGTCTATCAAAATCACCGTAATATTTCTATTTGATATAAGCAAAAAAAAAAATTTAGGATCAAAATTTGATATATGATAATTAATTTTATAATATGTGTATCTATAAAAATCACAGTAATATTTGTATTTGGTATTTGGTAATTAATTTCTATAATATTTGTATCTATCAAAATCTCGGTAACATTAGTAACTGGTAGTTGATAATTAATTTTTATAATCTTTGTATCCATCAAAATCACGGTAACATTTGTATTTGGTATATGATAATTAATTTTTATAATCTGTGGATCAATCAAAATCACGGTAACATTTGTATTTTGGTATAGGATAAATAATTTTTGTAATATTTGTATCTATCAAACTCACAGTAACATGAGTATTGGTAGTTGATAATTAATTTATAATCTTTGTATCTATCAAAATCACGGTAACATTTGTAATTAGTATATGATAATTATTTTTTTTATAATCTTTGTATCTATCAAAATTACGGTAATATTTGTATTTGGTATTTAATTAATTTAATAATTTTTGTATCTATCAAAATCACGGTAACATTCTTATTGCAGTCTATCCTTAAAATCTAGAATCTATTTAAATTCAAAGACTTGTTATTATTTAATAATTGGAAAACAAAAACATGTTGACTTTCATTACTTTATTTTGTGTTTTTGAAAGTTTATGCGGAAAATGACGAAAATAAAACCTAGTATGTTGCCAAAATATTGTAACATTTTAATTAAAGTTGACTTTCATTAATATTGATTTTACTGATTTATCAAAGATCACGATAACATTCGTATTTGATTGCTTGATTATTGATGTTTAGAATATTTGTACTTATCTAAATCACGGTAACATTCTTATTTGACTATTAAATATGTTTACTATATTAATATTTATGTATACATTTAAACTGTGTTTTAAAATCATATTTGGTAAGAAAATGTTGTTAATTTTTTTACCAATAAGTTTATTGCAATCTGTCATTAAAACATAGTCCATTCAAATTCTAATTAATAATTTTAAGGTTTGAACATGAATAACATATCAACCTACAATTGTATATGTTATCTCAATTTGTTAATTATTAAATAAATACTATGAAAGCTTTGAAATTAGTCGATAAACCTTACAGTCATTATAGCAATTTAATTCTTAAAAATTGGTAATCTTAGATTCTTTTGACTAATCAAAAAATTGGTAATGTTGAGATATATATAAGCTAGGGGTGGCCATACATACCTGCTTATGAGTTGGTAAAAAATCTCTTCTTCATTTCTTTAGTCTCTCCACATGATTTTTTATCTTGAGATGATAGTCATGTCAACAATTTATAATTCAATATAAAAGTGTTACATAGATGATTATTTATTTGATACTCTTTTCTTCTAAATATTTTAGATACCGGAACTTTTGGTAAAGAGATCACAAAAGACCGCATATATTAAGGTAAACAAATTTTTATTTTATTTAAGAAATATATTTAATCCAATATTTTCTTATAACTACATGTTATATTTTTACTAGAAATATTTGTCATCTTGTTGTCAAAATAATCAATCTTTTATATGTATGAAAAATTTCGATGGAAAAGAGATACAAATTGTGATCTTTCAACAATACTAATTATTAAATAATATGTTGTTATATAGAGAAGGTGAAACAAATCCAAATATTTTTAAATATGTGCATATTTTAATCCTGATCCAAATTCGGATATCCACGCAAATGTTATGATATGCATGGATATAGAGATCCGGATCCATAATATATAGGATTCCAGTTGATAAAATTATTGTGATCCTAGATCAGATTTAATCTAAATAATAAAATATTAAATATTTTTTTTTATCTATAAAATATAATTTCAATTTTTAGAAACTTTATAATTGGTAAAATTTATTTACAAAGACCGGGAGCCAGGAAAATACTTTTTTTATTTATTTATTTCAAGTGTAATTTCCATATATATTTTGCAAGTTTTTTTTTTAATATTATAACAAATATTTGGCAATAACTATTTACTATATAGGTTTTTACACACGTGCGGAATTTTAATCTAATCATTGATAAATTTGAACTTTTCTATCTGACAGTTCTGATTGAAATCATAATATAACGATACCGTTATTATTTTCCATATATCAAACCAACAATAGCTATTAATACAATCCAAATCTTCTCTTTTTTTTTAACAAACAAATCATTTTTTTTTTTTTCACAAATCATTAAAATTTAATGATGTTGTTTTTCTTAATCTCCATCAAGATCATTAAAAAAATTTCATGTTTGTAATAAAAAAAACTTAGGAGATAAAAATAGAAAAAACAGAAAGTATAGGGGCAACAACACAAAGAACACCACCACGTCCACCACCAAAAGTTTTCACTTTCACACGAAGCCATGTCTCTCTGCTCTTCTTGATCATTGACTTTTTAAGATAGAGAGAGAGGGATAGGTCTTATTTAATTTATTAAATAAATATTTAATATCCTCATCTTGCAAAAATGGCAAAATCGTAAAAGAAAAGTGTCATAGAGGGTAGACCAGTAAATATAAAGATACAGTGAAGGGTAGTTTAGGTGTAAAGAGGATGATAAATACGTGGTGATAGGGCAACACCAAGCTCTTATGTTTGTTGTTCATCCCCAAAAAAGCTTAATAAAAAAATAATCGTTTCTCTGTGAAGAAGACGACGACGGAAGAGGAGACCTAGCTTAGCCGACGATTTCTTTATTAATTTTCTTAGTCTGAGATTTCTCCGGCGACGAGACCTAGATTCATCGATCTCTCGTTCTTGTGGCTTTTAAATCGTCTAAGACTTTAAGACGCTGGATTTAAAATCCGAGAAGAGTCGTTTGATAATAACCGGATTTGATTCGAGCGGTAGATAGTGAAAATACGGCGGAGGAGTTGATCGGATCTCGGTGGTGGTGTGATTCTGTATATTGAGTGAGGAGGAGGAGGAGAATATAAAGTAGGTGGACTCAGGTATATGAAAACCCTAAGTTCTTTGATTACTACTGCTCTTTGTTTTTGGTTCAATGAAGGAGAGATCTGTTTGCTTATGGACGTCAATGTCGGCTGCGATACGCTTCGAATCTTCTTTTGGCCATGGAAGATCCCTTAGGTTCCTGCAATTTCTTGGGAGAACGAATTCTTTTTACCTCAGGAACTTAGTGGACATGAGCCTTTACCCTTCTGATTTGGCTCGTCTATATACGACCTTATATGATAGAATTAGGACACGATGATACTCTGATTTCGATGTGGTTCAAGTTTTTGGGGGGGGGGGGGATGACAATAAAGTCTAATGGATCTTTGGCATCACACGGCCATTCAAGTTTTTCCAGAATCTTCGATATGGCCAAGGGCTTGCCTACAGTGATCTGGAGTCGGATTTTATCGGACTAAAAACATGAATAAATGTTTGTTTTGTATGCTTTTAATGCCAAAAAAAAAACGCTTGTGGAGGTTTTTTTCAGACTTATAGCGCAATCTGTCTTAAGGTAAAGGCTCATAGAGTCTTTAACTTGACTGTCTAGCTATGAAGTTATTTTGCCTGCACTAACTCCATTATTCTATACTAGAAGTAGGCAATTTTTCTTGCTTATGTTTTGTGTTGTTTTTTTTTTTTTTTCTATGGTTTACTAATGAAAGGTCATTGCTTGCAGGTGAGGTAAGTGTTTATAAAATAAAAATCAAGTTTTGTGGGAGTGGATGAGAGTGTATTGAAGCATGACAAGCAATAACGGTGCAGAGCTTCCTTGGAAAAAGGTGGCTAAAGGTAGCAGAAGTTTAACAAGGCGTAGCAAGAAACCAGTTGTACGTGTTCCAGCCTCAGGTATTGAGGCAGAAGCCAAGAGTTCAACAGCCACTGTGGCAGGAAAACCAAAGCCTGAAAAGGTTCCTCTTTTTAATTTTTTGTTACTTCTTTCCTGATTTTGTTAGGAAATTTCTGGCCTCTTGATTTTAATTTTGATCCTTTCTATTTATTGCAGCTTGGCGTTTCTGTTCTAGGTCAGCATTTCGCTGAAAGAGTAGAGCATGTTCCGATAAAGAAACGGAGATTTATTGTTCGCTCTCCGTCACCATCAAAGAGGCCTTCTACTCAACGTGAAGGCTCAGAACATAAGGCGCAGATCAACCATGCTTTGCCTGTTTCGAGATTAAACCCTAATTTAATTTCAGACGTCCGTGATGAAAAGCCTGATTGTAGTGATCATGACTTTTCTGGTATCAAGATACTTGCTGATGCTGCTTGCAGTGCTGACGTGAGTAATGATTTTGCACCAGCTGTAGACTGCCTGCCTGCTGAAGAATCTGTTGTTCAGCAACAAGATACATTGACCATATCAACTCATGTTGAAGGTAACGATTCATCAGCTGGTACTGCTGATGTCTCGCATACCGCGGTTGATTCCGGTGATCAGACTGGGCAAGGCAAGAGCAATATTGTAGCGCCTCAGAAATATCCTCTAACAAATTTGTGCAAAGAGTTGGCTGATGAGCAGAGTGTAGAGCACAGCAGAGTGACCTCTGGAGGGATGATAGCACCTAAAAAAACTAGCATTGCTCTTTCAAATGAATCCTCAACAGAAAGACCGAAAGCTAATGTAGAAGCAGGTGAAAGTGAAACTTTAGCACCTGATAGTGGAGCTGTAACGGTGTCAGAGAAATCATCAGCCGTTGAGCCAACTGAAAAGAACAATGAAGGCCTTAAAGATGTTAAATTCCACTGGGATTTAAATTTTCCTTGTGATGTAGAAGATGAAGCCTCTGGAAGAGATCTAGAGGGAGAAATCACAGAGTCTATTGCCCCTAAAGAGAGCGAACGTTTTGATGGAAGTAAGGACAGTATGGATGGGGTAATTGCATCAGATGAACATACAAAATTTTCATCACCATCTGGGCCTAATACTGAAGCAGCTGCTACAAATGACAAGGAGTGCCAATCTGGTTATGACTCCCAGTTTGAGGATGGAGAGTTGAGGGAACCATACCCTTGGGAAGAAATTGGAGAGGTTGAACAGTTGGATTACGGGTCTGAGCCAGAGAATGAGAGATTCTACTCTATGGATTCTGAGAAGGGAATCTTGGCAGACAAGAATTTCAGACATGTTAAGTGTGAATCTGGTGATGCACTGAGAATTGGGCAGGCTAATGAAGCGAGTGACATAGAGAAGCAAGTTGTTGTAAACATGAGCGATTCACATCCTAAGAAGGGCTCTTCTTCTCCTTCAAGGAGTTTTGGTTCAAAACCATACAAGGAGGTGCCTTCACATGATGCCATCCAGAGGAGAAGGCAAGTTTTGCTTTCCCTGAGCCTTTTAATTTGGGTCAAACGCTTATTAATAATTTGTTATTAACTGAGTCATGGTTCTTTTGTTTCAGGCCTGATACTTATGAAGAGGTGAGCACGGGTCCAGATAGGTTTGCTGGGAGAGACGACAGGTCAGGGATGCGTATGCGTAATAAGAGTCCTCGGAGAGGGTATTTTAATGGTTGGGATTCCAAACGACGCTTCTCCCCACCTAATTACAAAGATGGTTCCTATGGTTCCGGGCGTCCATGGCCTAAAAGAATGGCAGATGATCGAGGTATGATGAACAACGGCTTTGATGAATCAGGGTCAGGACCAGGACCAGAACCAGATGGTTATGTACGTAGGCAATTCTCAAATGGTGGATACAGAGGTCGGTTTAAGAGATTCCCAGATGGTGGGGATCGTAAATTCAGGGGCCCACACAGTGATACCAACCAATTTCCTGGTCGGATGCAGAACCGGATGAGTGGTAATAGGAGAGAGAGAGGTGGCTCTCCGGTCCTGAGGAGATTGCACTACCCGCAATCAGAGTCAAGATCCAGAAGCCGTTCTCCAGTCTCGTGGAATAGCCGTAACAGATCATCTCCTCCTCCTCCAGGTGGGTTAAGAGCAGATGAGAGGACGACGGAAAGAGTGAGGTTGCCTTTCCAGAAACGGTTTCCTGCAGATCAGGAGATGGGTTACATGTCACCTCCGAGAAACAGAATGTCGTCGCCGAGGTTCTTTGAAGGGAGGAATAATGATACTGGAGAGAATCATAATAGCTTCAGGGAAAGGAAGTTCCGGCCTGGACAGAGATTTGATGTCGGAAATTCTGGAGACAATGATGATGCTGGAGAGAATCATAATAGCTTCAGGGAAAGGAAGTTCCGGCCTGGACAGAGATTTGATGTCGGACATTCTATGAGAAGACCGAATTCTGACAACAACAACTTGAGACCATTTATTCGGAACAGAAGATTTGAAGGCGCGGAAGAGAACACTGGTCGGAACAGGTTTGAGATGGCTCAGCAGCGGAGGACTCGGCGGTCTGAGGCCACAGAAGAGGGAGGTGATGATATTCGACGGTTCAAGTTTAATGAAGAACAACCAGTGGTGGTAGCCAACAACGACAACAACAACAAAGAGTCATGATAACAGATAACGTAAGAGACTCATTTTTGGTTTTTTCCAATAGAATCTCTCTTATGTTAGTTTAGTTTTGTTTGTTATGTTTGTTATCGTAATTTTAAGACATCGGTTTAGGAAGAGGGAAGAAAAATGCCATGGCGTCGTCATCTGTTACTTTTATGACTCTGCTCTGGTGTTTTTGTTTTCTTCTTTTTTTCTTCTTTTTTTTCAAATTTCTCATTTTCTTTCTACAGAGGGTTTTAGGGGTTTCTAGGTTTTAATAGTTGCTGGTTTCCTTTTCTGGAAATGATTTCTATATTTGTAGAAAACCAACAAAATGAAATCAAATATCTTTTTTTTCTTACCATTTTTGTAGTTTTAAATTAATTTTACCAAAAAAAAGAAATGAGAGAGCAAAGAGCATACCAATCTTGAGATGGTACAAGTACAAACTTATCAAATTCTTTACATTCATGGAACTTGAGGACTTTTAAACTCCAAATGCAATCCCTAGGAAAGTTGCAATGGCGATCTGAAATATTTCGACAAGAATCCCGAGAACTATCAACGAACTCCATCCTTTTTCCATTCGCCATTCCCACAGCAGTTGTTGGTCCACCAATATTTTGCGTTTGATTGATGCAATAAGCAAAAGCCGTAGCTCTCTATCTTCATCATCTTCCCTATTCCTTGTACACCAAGAGGTATCACTATTTGTAACAAAGCAAACAGAAATATGCTTGGACCTGTGCTTATTACACTCGTTATGTCTGATCCACTTGCTCTCAACACTGCAAAGAGCACCTGTTTTTCATAGTCTTGGAATATTAAACACTTTCTTATGGTCCAAAAGCTTAATCAAATTGTATATAAAAATTCAGAGAAATCTTTAGATCTCTCTGCAAATTGCAGGAAAAACTTCCAAACGAGGGGAGGCTTCTTCAAATCTGACCCACCAATATTGGCGTTTGATGCAATAAGCAAAAGTCTTAGCTCTACAGGCATCTTAGTTGATCAATGGAGTGTTTTTAAAGTTGGCTCGTAACTTGTCAGCAATTAAATGTAGCCATGACAGAGAATGCTCTGTTTCAGTAACTTCTTAGGATAAATATAAGAAGATTCCAAAGACACAATGTTTTATCGTGCAAGTTTCTAACACAAAGGAAAGATTCAATTGTAAAGAGCTATAACAAGGAGATATTCCCCGAGGATATGAATTATCTTGTGCATTACAAAACACAACATATCAGAAGCATAAGTGTGAGCAACAACAGGATGGTTTCCATATCAAAGTAAGAAAACAACAAAACAACAACAACAACATGATGATTAGGAATTTCCATATCCATTGTAAACGCAAAGCAGAAGAAGAAAACATAAATTTGAGGCAGAGCTGATTGATATAAACCTCAAGGAGAATCAGATTTTAGATGCAAAACCATTATTACTATTAGCATTGAGGTAGGATTGAGGTGGAATGAAGTAAGGGACAGGGCAAGTGTAAAAAAAATTAACGTTTAGCTTAGACCCGATATCGTATATTCCTCGTTCCGTGTTGTCTGTGAAATAGACGTTGTTTCCTAGTCCGTCATACAAGCTAGCCTGGAGACAGAAAGGTTCACCTTTAGAGGAGAGGAAAATGCAGAGATCTCCAATGTCTTTAGTGTACAAAGCATTTCCATTCTCGTCTAACTTGAACACTAGTATTTGCTTCTCCTCCATCTATTTTCGATTCTGATGTTGACCCACTCAGGTTTTTTTTGAGCAGGCCTGCATAAGCTTAGCTGAGGTCCAAGAAACTTGATGGCCACTATGCAGTCGTCGTCCTCAGGAGAAAAGGAGGACATGGCCACGTTGGTTACCAATTGGGTTTGGCAATGAGGCAGAGTTACGAGAGGAGGCAGAGAGATTCGCTTTGGATTTGAATCTGATAGCACTTGGGTTTAGGTCGTCTTGGAGACGCACTACACCGTCTTTCAAACTAGCTACCCAGCCATGAGATGCTCCTATAGTTCCCGTTTCTGTCATCAATTCCATTGGCACCGTCTTTTCCAAAACGTCAGTCCCACAACAAGAAGTTTCAGAAAAATCTGTAACTACGAGTTTACCGATATCCCCATCCCTAGAAGTAGATCCACAAGGAACAGCGCCTAAGATGTGACAGAGAGGGGTTTCAGACAAGAACCGAGCGCCACTGAGGTGTCTCTGGGGAGTAATCAAACATTCATCATCATCACTACACTAGTTATTATAGTTTTCTTAGCAAAATGCTGTCAATTTAAATCTTCTGGCTCATTTTTATTTTTTTTGTTCATTTTTGTTTATTTTTTTTTGCTTTTATTCATTTTCTTTTGTTTGTCTTGTTACGGCCCACGTCCTTTAATTGGTTGCATCATCCCTTTTAGTATTATTATTCTTATTTTTGATTTTTGTATGGCATCCATTTTGTATATGTTCTTAAATAAATTATGTTCTTTTAGTTCTATATTTTACACAAATTTTAAATCATCTTTTCACCGTAAAGTATACCTACATTTCAATCTATTTTTGTAGTTTAGTTAATATATTAGAGTCTAAATTTGTGTGATATTTTTAGATATAATTTACATTTTAAATAAAACTAATATATGTAGTTTAAGTATTTAGAAACCAAAAGATATAGTATTTCAATTTTTTGGATTTTTTAGATTTTAAATATTAGAATAAATTAAGAATAGAAAAGTATATTTATCTCATACGTTAACTATATTAATTTTATATGATTAACTAAATATATTATTTGTGCTCTACACAAATTATTTTTCTGGATCCGCCACTGTCTTTAGTTGCTCTTTCATCCTATCCAAAGGATGCATTGGTGGCTCAACATGAATCTCTGCAAATGTCAGAAAATTTCTTCTCAGTGCTAAATTTCTTCACTTCTTCGTCAACTTTCATTTCCAGAGAGACAAACACATTGTGGTTCTGGACCCAGAATGTGCATAATGAAGAACTTCCAGCAGTTGAAATAGACTCATCAGCTTCAAGGACAACCTCTGGAGTTTCCACCAGTTGCTCCTCAACCTTGGAATGGTTAGCCACAGAGTTAACTCCAATCATACCCAAATGAACCCAGTGATCTTTGAAATCAAAATTTATCAATTTTGTAGGTTTCCATGTCTTCAATTCCTCACGAATCCCTCGAACAAAATACTCATAATGTCTGTCGCCGACATGTTTCTTCTCTTCTTCTTCTTCTTCTTACTTTCTTTTTGCTTTTTTCAGAAGAAAAAGAGTGAATGAAATTTGAATTGAAGAGGAAGAAGATGGGTAATTGCGAACTCATCTCTCAATTTCTTCAGAGCTTTTTTCCCGTTCAAGGTAGTAGACAACAACGATGGGGAAGAAGGATGCAGCTTTTGAAAAATTACCACTTACGGTTTTATTTTATTTATTTCACTAGTTGTATTCCCTGTTCTAAAAATTGGGTGGGGACCGCGGCGATTTTGTCCAAATCGGTAAAAAAAATCGGTGATCTGATTTTGTACATGGATTATATTTCACCAGTTAAACTTAAAACGAAGAAGTAAATGAATAAAAGAAGATACGGGAATATCTAAGGATATCTTGGCTTTATTCTTTCATTAATTAATTAAAGTAAATCAAATTATTGCAATCTCCTAATCTAACAATACCATCTAATTTTATTTTTTAACAAGAAAGTTTCATGCTTAGCAAAAAAACAATAACGTTCACAAAATTTATACAGGAAAATTGCCTAAATTGTTATTCTTCTAATTTGTTTAATGCAAAAAAAAAAAAATCAAATACAAAATAATATGTGGCTTTTTTCTTATATTTCCAAGAAATATCTTTGTGTGTGATATTCAATTTTGTATGTGATACTCATTTACTAGAGAGTTATGATGAACCTATGAGTCAAAAGAAAAGTAGGATTTATGATATATAGATGTATCATGTGTCAGATTATTAAAAAAAAAAAAAAAAAAACTCACAATCTCTTGTGCTTTTGAGCTGTCCTTGATGAATATATATTACTCCATCTGTTCCTATTTTACCTTTTTAATTTGTTTCACAAAGATTGATTTTCTAGATTTTGTTTTATTTTTTTATTAATTGATATTAATATATCGTAAACTTCAAGGCGCAATGATTAACTGTTCTATATTACTATTTGTTCAAACTTATTAATAAATGGTTGATATAAAAAAGTAATTGACAAATAATTAGACAATTGTTTCTTAATATATGTGAAAATTTTAAAACATCAATCTTTAAGGAACAAAGTGAGTATTTTTTTTTGTTGATTTTAATATTTGGACGATTATAAAAAGTACAATTTCATATCTCAATTCTCATGCATCCACATCATGTCTAAAATGATGACGCATAAACAAACTTATGAATTGTTTAAATCATTTCATATGAAAGAATAAAATGCATTATACATCAAACAAATATGACAAGCATATAAAAAACGATAATGCAATTCCAACACATACTTATTGTTTTTTCTTTTTGGTGAGTACCACATACTTTTTGTTATTAAGTATAAATTAGTGCTTTAATTGTTAAAATAATTGAAAATTGAAAACAACATTTCAAAAAATCTAATTTAATTTTATATTGGATAATGCAGTATTAATTTCTCACTTTTGTATGTGTTTTGAAAGTTTGGATATTGGCAACTAAAAAATAATTTATTTTCTTCTATTTGGATATTGTTGAGTAGATGACAAAAATAATTATTTGACAGACAAAAGTATAAACAAAATGAATACTAGTATTGGAACATGACAAAAAAAATTAATTGGCAATAAAGTATATGTCCCAAATGAGAAAGCCAACATTCTCTTAAAAATAACTTTTAGCATACTATAATATTATACCATTATGGTAATGTAATTATTATTTTAATGTAGTGGAAAACTAATTAACTCCTTATATTTAAGATGTAGTTTTATTAAAAAGAAAATAGGATATGAAATAAATAGTAGGTATTCCAAATTAAATATTTTTTAAGTTGGGTATCAATGATGATGTATTGTTACAGCTATGTTATTGTTTATTCCCAATAAAAGTTTTGGTATTTACTTGGATATCATGAAAAATGAAAAGATTGTTATTATTATTTTTTTTCTTTTTGGATTAAAAAAAAGTATCTAAATTTATTCAACACCCTCCTTTTTCACTTTTTAACATTTCACATCATCTTCTCTCTCTTCCACCTAATAATTCAACATCTATTTAATTTTTTAACATTTCCAATAGTTTATTTAATAAATAGAATTATAGTGAAATAAACTTTTATTTTTCTATTCCAAATAAAAAGAAACAAGTATCTATTTATATAGAAAAAAATATGATGAATTTTGTTATCAAAAATATAAATAAATAAATTAGTTTAGTATATAATAATTGATGTTAAATAGTTAGGGTGAGATTGAAAATTTCAATATCCAATAAAAAAAGAACATGTGTCATTTGTGATCCCACATTTTTTGTTTCAACATGTTGAATCGACATCAGTCTTTTTTTTTCATTTTCAACACCTTCATTGCAAAGATTCAACTGTTGAATTCTTTATTCAACACCTCCATTGCACATAGTGTGCAAACTGATTTCTCTTGATGGAGTGGAAAGAGAAGATGTCCAATGTCGTGATGGACCTCATTAATTAAGAGTAAATATTTCGCTAATTAATCTGGGATATGACTTTTCGTTAAATGCAATTATGCAAATACTTTCTTATGCATGATTCAGTCATCTCTATAGTACTATTATTTGAGGAGAAGCAAAATAATTAGGTATATTAATTAGGGCTAAATCTTGTGGATTAGTTTGGCCTACTCCTGAAAAACAGCAGGCTTGAACTTAAAAGTATATGTCTCAAAAATTGGATTTTTCGGGATAAATATTGTTATTTTAAACTTCAATGGCCTTTATAGTTAGTTTTTATCCTCATTAACTATTCTGTTTTAAAAAATAATATATGCTAAATTTAATTGACCAATAACATATGTATAAACAAATTTGTTCATTTTCCTTTTGGTTAAGGAAAATATATATATTTAGATATAGACTTATAAATTAGTATATATAAATTTGTTTCCTTTTTTAGTTTTTCTATTTCTTTAAAGACAAAAAAAAAGTTAATTTTTTTCTAACACATGTCAACATCTGATCAATAGACTTGACATGTGGCACAATCCTATGAGTTACTAACTTTGAAAAGCATACTTTACATCATAAGATATCAAATTTACATCTTTTGGAATTTTTCATATTTATGTTAACATAATGTCAAAATCTAATTGGTTGTAATTTCTTACATTTGTCAAAATCTTATTAAAATACTTGCCACATTTCACGATCCTATGAATTATTAACTTTGAAAACCATACTTTATATAATAAGATTTTATAGATCCTTAGCAGTACTTGAATCATGTTAATATAAACATATTTTATATTAAAGTTTTTCTGCCTCAATTGTTGATAAATTTTTTAGTTCATGTTCTCTAATGGTAGATATTATTTTTTAACTGGAATTGGTGTCCACTTTGTGAAACTCACAAAGTCACAATAGATCACTTAGCTACAAATACTCGACATATATTTTGTCGGATTCATTTCTCTCTTATTAGCTTGTCACATTATTAACTAATCTTGCCATTTTGTTTTGGTTACTGACTATTTGGGGACTTTAATAATTTTCTTATCTTTCTTATTTTCATTTTTAATTTTGGAAATCACCATTGCTAAAGCTTAGTTTGAACTTGATTACTTTACTGAGTTTGAATGAAATAAAAGGAGGCTAGAAGAGAAGACGACGAACATTTTTTGTCGTTGGAGTTCTCAAATGTTGTAGACTTGTAGTCATATTTTGATATGTTCATCAAGGTAGATCATAATCATAGAGTTTAAATATTATTTTCTAATCTTTCTCATTTTATGCTTTCTATGGTTTAATTTCCTAAATATTTTCAATCAGTCAAAAATTACTTGAAAGTTTGAGAGGATTTGAAAAATATATATTTTAAGACAATGTGATGATTAAGAATTGGATAAATTCATCATCATAAGAGACGTAGTTGTTAAAATCCTTTGATGGATATTTGTTTTCTTTTGGTATTTAGCATCAAGAAAAATAAGAAGTTCAAATTTTAAAAATACAATATTATAGTCGCATTATCTATTATTATGCTCTGGGTGGGCTAGTAGTCTTGGCATCTCAATTACAAAAAGGGTTTGGTCACTGCTTTAGTTTCCGATACCTAACCAAAAAAATGGATTTAACAAAAATAATATCATCCCAACGCCGTTTGTCGCCGTGACCGATCAATCGTCTAAATCATATTCCGATGGAGGACTTGGCTTTAGGACGCTTGAAGAATTTAATCTAGCTTTACTAGCTAAGCAACTATGGCGCCTTATTAGATTATCAAACTCTCTTCTGAATAGGGTTCGGAGGGTCGCTACTTTCGCTTTAGCGACCCCCTACATATAGGAACTTCTAACCGGCCTTCTTACGGTTGGAGAAGTATCATGGCTGCTAAACCCCTCCTGGTTTCTGGATTATGAAGGACCGTAGGTTCCGGTATGCTCACCAAAGTGTGGGAAGATTATCACTACCAAATGAGCTAGAAGATTTAAATTGACAGCATTTTGCTAAGAAAACTATAATAACTAGTGTAGGGCACGTGCCTTACCCCTTATTGCTGTAGATCCGCCCATGACTGAAGATTTTGAAGGCTAAGAAGCCCAAAACCCCTAGAGATTTTGAGAGAAATAGCTAATTTGGAGAGGGCCATTAAGAAATGGAAAAGATAAAATGAAGAGAGGAGCCGTGCTATGGTTGAGCTTCTTTTGAACCCAAAAGGTAAGATTTCGTACTTATGTTTGGTCTCTTTGACTTAAGTTCATTTTCAGTTTCAGATTTGATTTTAACTAGATACAATTATGTTTCAGTCCAAAATTTTGTTTCAATTTCATTTAGTTTTTAGTAAACAAGACTTTTGTTTCAGTTTGGTTCTTTTCACTTATGTTTTTAGTAAACAAGACTTTTGTTTCAGTTTGATTCTACGTATCTTTAATTGAGTTTGCATTTAGTTTCAGATTTGAATATGAGTTGCAGGTTTCTCTTCTTAGCTTGAGTTCAGTTTCAGTTCTGAATTTGAGATTCTCTAGTTATGTTTGGTTTCAAGATATAGTATATGTCATTGTTTCAGTTTAAGTATATGTCATTGTTTCAGTTTAAGTAGATGCTCCACTTTGAACCAAACTTGTTTAGACAAATGTGAGTTTTAGTTGTAGGTTTCATTTGAGTTTTGGTTATGTTTCATGATTGAACTTGAAGTTGAAGTTTTAGGTTTTCGATTGTTCTATTTCTATCTCCACTTGTCTTCACTTATGTTTGTCTGCTTACAAGTCACAAATTCACACTTGATCACTAATCCGATTACTAAGCATACAATCACACTAAATCATAAATTTTAAGTTTTAGTTTTAATGTCTAACCACACTTATTTTCATGTTTTAGTTTCAGTATTTTATGTTTCATAAAGTCTTACATAAAGATGAATGGAAAGTAGTAAACAAACTTCAAAAATTTTAAGAGTGCACATAAAGCCGCAGGCCAGCCCGTTTGCCTGCGGTCCTAAACGGGGCCAGAACTAATTACAAGTATGTCTTGTAATTATGTCTTGATCTCATGTTAATATTTGTGTTTATTATTGCAGATTGATCCAGAGTTAAGAAGAAGTTGGTCAAGCTTAGAGGAAGTTGCTCTAACTTAGAAGAAGTTATAATTCTGATACCATATGTTATGTTATAATTATGCAAACTTAGTTCTCCATCTCAAACTCTATTTCAACTTATATGTACTTGGATTGTTATATAATTATGTAGCAACTTTTAGATATTTTGTGGCTTTGATTAAACCACATGAAAACATAACCAAGTGACCTAAATGAAGCCACACAATAAGGTCTCAGTCTAAATTTTATAGGTTTTGCAACCAAAATCAACATAACCGATACTGGAGAAGAGACTGTCTCTTTGTTAACAGAGATAGAAACATATATATATAGAGAGTGAGCAGAGTCAGATCCATAGTTTAGTTATATTACCATCTTCACATGAACTTGAGAACTTTAACTCCAAATGCAATTCCTAGGAAAGTTGCAATGGCAATCCCAAATATTCCCGCCAGAATCCCTGGAACTATCAACGAGTTCCATCCCTTTGCTGTCGCCATTCCAGCTGCAGTCGTGGGTCCTCCGACATTAGCATTTGATGCTAGCAGCAGCAACCTTAGCTCGATGTTTAGCAGCTTTCCTATACCCAATATCACAGCTAGATGTGTCCCAATTTGAACCAACGCAAACAAGAATATGCTCGGCGCCGTGTTGATCACACTCCATATGTTTCCGCTTGCACCTACCACTGTGAAGAACACCTGAAATAAAACTAGATTGATTAATATCAAGAAGGTTGCATCGTTCTTGAAATTGTTGTAGTTGTCTCATACCTGCATCAGAATCAGAGCCATAGCTTCTCCAGATGGAGCAAGACGACCAAACTGGGACGGAAAGACCGTTGCTAAAATAACAACAACCGCGGTTATGGCCGGTAAGCTACCACCCGAAATCCCAAAGTACTTTGTTAGCAAAGCCCCAGCCTTGCATATAGCTAATGACACAGCAATTCCAGTAGCTATCAGTAGCACAGGAATTTTGTTTTTAGTTTCAGAAACTTGGTTCGTCTCTGCATTTGCATCTGCAATAGGAGAGCAACATCTAAGTCAGAATTCAGAAACTGAATTTATCAAATGGAATTCAGAAGGTCATAAACAATAGAGAAAAAAGTGGCTAAAATCGAAATGAAAAAGGAATGGAACAGAGCATTTTCCTCTGGATATCTAGTCCAAAAGAAGTGACTTCCCAACTGAAGATTTACATAACCTCAATGATAAATTCTTTCCAAAGGAAGCCAAATCACACGAAACCAGACATCACAGCAATCAGACTTACCAGTAGTCGGTGGCGGTACAGCTTCTGCAGGTATTTTGGAGCCCAAAGCAAACAATGTCGTGAAATATACAGCGCATATAACATTATCAGCAGCCAGTCCAGCAGCTAAAACCGATGGTGTAACTCCAAGAGCATTTGATATAGCTACATAGTTGACGGCTGGACAAAACAAAAGTCAAAATTAAACTTATACACCACTTTAGAAAGAAGAGAACAAGATTGGCGTGTCAAGAAAATGGAAGATACAAATCACTGTGTCTAGCAGATATTCAAAGACACATGAATACTTTGTTACCTCCACCGATGTGTCTTCCCATGAGAGCAGCTGCAATCTTCCAACTATCAGGGCCAAGTGATTTCATTGGCACTAGATAGTAGGCCAGAGCTGTACCCACCGTTGTGGCAACTGTTATGAAAACCATGAAAAAGCAAATGTGTGAATGTTATGAGCCTTTTGCTGTCACAGTACCACCCTTGTACTTAGATACAACAAGAGAAGGATCTTTTACCTGATCCAATCAAAAAAGCCAAGAGAAGCTTTCCAGTGGACTGAACCACACGGCGCAAATCAGCTCTAAACAACAACAGAGGAACAGCTAATGGGAGCAGGAAATTCAACACAACAGCAAAAGCAGGAGCTTGGGAAGAAATGATCCCTAGATTACTAGCTGCAAGCCCAACTAGAGTGCTGACTAACGCACCACTCATCGCGGCTCCGACCTTTGTATTCTCCGACCTATACAATCAATCACACCATTTGTGATTTCAAACTTCACTCCCATGTAAACAAAATTTTGAAACCTCTCTTTATAGATTCACTCAAAATCAACTTCACCTAAGAATCAACATGACGTAAATTCAAATTTTCGATCAGATAAACTAACGATCGAAGTTCTACAAAGAGTGATGATCGTACCAGAGACCGAGAGCCCCAGTGGCGAAGAGAGCAGTCCAAGTTCCCCATTCATCGTTGGGTGAAATGAGAGGTGTACTCAACGAACTCACAGTCACCGATCGGATCGGAGAAGATGATTCCGGTAACGAATCCGGCGAGAGAAATCTGTCGCTTCCGTTACGAAACTGCGACAACGAAGCAGGATAGAGGCTAAGCCGTGAAGAGACTGCTTTAGTCGAGAATTCAGGAAGATCTTTGCGTGAAACAATGTGTGGTCGCCGGCGAAATAGTCTCGACGACGGTAACGAGATTCCGGTCACATTGAGTAACGGCAAGCTCGTCGCCATTTGTCGCGTCTGCTTCACGAAGAGAAAAAGGTGGAAAAGGTAGTGAGTGATTAGTGGAATTGACTCATCATAGTGCGTCAACTTTGCTTTCTATCAATAATTTCATATATCGCAGATCGCACTGAGCCGAACCGAATCTTAAATCAAAATTGGTTTCGATTAAACCAATAAACCAAATCAAATCAAACTAAAACCGAAAATGTGTATGCAAATTGTTATTTCTTATAGATTCAGATTCGGGTTATGGAATAAATTGAGCTAAAACCGGTTACCATTCTTCCAATTTAATTCGGATTAACCATGGAAGTGCCAAAAGTAACTAAAACTAGATACAAAAACGTTGACATTAACTGTTTTAACATCTCTCTTGGCAATGGTCACAGTCACAGAGCTTATCTCTTCTGTTTCTTGGGATCTCGTTTCTCATCTTCTTCCAAAGCTTTGAGTTTGTTCTTAATGGCAGCTACTTTTTCGTCTCGGCTCATTTGTCCTGAGCTGCTCCCGTTTACAAACCTCGGTCTGTTTGCTTCTGGTAATGATCTTTTGGAGTGATCATGAGAGATATCTTCTAGTTGCTTCTCACTAGCTAAACGCACCACCAAAGGTCTACCACAAGCTAATCTCCCATGCATCTTCTCCTTCGCCAATTCAGCTTCCTGTGTACTCACTTTAGATGTAGAAATCAGGAGATTGCTCAATCAAAAATCAAAACATTTTTCATCACTTGAAACAATCTCATCTAAGCAAATGCAAAACCAAGAAAGCCAGATTGTTCGTTACCTCTTTACGGCAAAATTGGATGAAAGCATAGCCGCGTGGTTCTCCTTTCTTTGGGCCGCGTGTATGCCAAAGGAAGTCTTCTGATATGATCTTCCCATATGGAGAAAACATTTTTATCAACGCAGCCCTATGACAAAGAGAAACTTATTGAATATTGAACAATGTTTTGATCTATGGAGTGGATGTAAATAACAAGCTTTGATTCACAGCGATTTTTCTTACTCGTTTATTCTAAGATCGAGGTTTCCAACATATAATCTATTCTCGCTTTTTTCATCTACAAACCCACCAGTATCCTGAAGTGTATATGTAAAGATATTTAGAAGATGACACAAATTAACATAAAGAAAGAAAAGCGAACAAGATCTCTCTCATTGTAAAATGAGTTACTAGGTTGAGCTAGACAAAAAAAACCCGACTTGAAAGATTTAAAAATGGAATAACTGAAGATATACAAAAAATGCTTTAGAGATTGTAGTTACCATTTAATTACAGAAACAACAAGAGTGAAAAATGACCAAGCTGACTCAAAAGAATGTATTCTGCATCCACCTGCAAATAAACAACCTCAACATTAGAACAAGACTTTCCTCTCTCATATAAAACAAGTTCCCCTCTCGGGATTTCAGAAGAGTAAAATTCTCTAAGGCAACAAAACTATTGCAGTGTGAATGATTTTAAATAAACAATCAATAGTAATTTTTCACATATGGACCATCAAATGAAAAAACAAAAAAAAAGGCATAAGACCAACTGTTCATCAAAAGCCACAAAAGGAATAGCATAAACCTATCAAGCAATACTCACTCAGTTACTACTCTATATTGCTGCCTAAATCACTATCGAAAACAGAGGCTTAATTGCAGTTGTTCACTAAGCATCAAACAAAAGCAAACTTTTCGTTCTAGAGAGAGCAAGATCTGTGGTCAGACTTATTGTCTGTTTCCAAGTGTGGTAACTATTGCCAACAGAATCTTAATCGTACAATAATCAATACTAATCAATCAGAGAAACAAGCCAAAAAAACCCTAATTTCACCTCATAGATTTTTCTGAGTTGTAATCAATAGTTAGTACGCCTAATCAGCTACTTCGATTACATCTCAACACACAACTGAACAGCACTGGAGAGAAGAAGCAGATAGTTCATATACTTGGGAACTAATAACAGATGAAAAATGTTGTAAAGATTCAGAGAGTTTCCATGGAAGCAAACTTTACCAAGCTAAAGCGCGATCTCACAGACGCAGGCAGACTTGAATCAAAAAGCAGGAGCACCAGAATCAGAATTTATGGCTGTAACCAGTAAATGTCTATCCGGTTAAACAGAAAACCGAACCGGTTATTGAAAAGTCAAAAATTAGTCACTCACCAAGTTAGAACGACGTCATTTCATTTTAACCAAATGGATTCTCTTCTCGCAACAGCTGCTTTTAATTTGAAGCTATTGCTGGTACTGAAAGTACAAACACAAAAGAAACAAAATCACAGATCATATGATATGAGTCTCACTTCAGTAATAAGCCAAAGAGAGATGAAAGTATTTTCACAGTGTAAGAGACGAAAATGTTTTTTTGGTATGTAAAATAAAAACAGCACAACTTTTAATAAGTTACAAATGCTTTATTCTTTGGGAATTTTGAAACTGTCATCTTCTGAACATCCCATTGAAGACAATGGCGTCAACGTCAGTATTCTCAGAGATCTGTAGTGACGACACAGCTTGAGCAGCAATCAAATCAGCTGATATTCTCATGTTGTTGTTGTTGTTGTTATTATCCCATCCCCTTGCGAAAGGCTCATATGAGACTGACGACCAGTTACTCTCTCTTGTTCTGTTATTACTATGAACCGCATAGCTCGAGCACCGTTGGTGAGGACAAAATATGTTTCTTCCACCACCAAAAAGATTGAATTTGGTAGTTGAGTCCCATGGCTTGAAACCTGTTTCTTGGTTTAGCGTGTTTCGGTATGAGTCGTCACAATCTTCGCCAAGTAAGACGTGCAGAGCAACAGCCTCTGCTATGGCGGCACCTTCCTCATCCAATCTCCTTTGTTCCTCAAGTTTTCTAAGCTTCTTCTTCTCTAGCTCAGCCCTGATGGCTGCAGAAGTAGCGATGGATTTCTCAAGACGTCTCTTTTTCCTCTCTGCTTGTTTGATACGCTCCAGTTCGTCTCTCTCCTGCTTATTCTTTGCTGAATCTTCTTCAACTGCTGCGTCTAGCTGTCCTTCCTTCTTCATTTGCTTCTTCTTCTCTAGCTCAGCGCGGATCGCTGCAGAAGTAGCAATAGCTTTCTCAAGACGTCTCTTTTTCTTCTCAGCAATGGCGGCACCTTCCTCATCCAATCTCTTTTGTTCCTCAAGTTTTCTAAGCTTCTTCTTCTCTAGCTCAGCCATGATGGCTGCAGAAGTAGCGATGGATTTCTCCAGCCGAATATTTTTATTTTTCTTCTCTGCTTGTTTGCTACACTCCAGTTCGTCTCTCTCCTGCTTATTGTTTGCAGCATCTGCTGAATCTTCTTCAACTGCTGCGTCTAGCCGTCCTTCCTTCTTCATTTGCTTCTTCTTCTCTAGCTCAGCCCGAATCGCTGCAGAAGTAGCAATAGCTTTCTCAAGACGTCTCTTTTTCTTCTCAGCTTGTTTGATTCGGTCCACTTCATGTTTTACTTTCTTCTTCCTGGCTTTTCTAACAATCGGCTGCATCAAGCTACTGTTATCCATGATTGCTAAAAGTCTTTGTTTGCCTGGCTTTTGGATACTCTACAAAGAGTAAAAACTAAAACGTATACATAATGGTATCTTGCTTCTTCTTCTACCAACTGAATAACTAAAACCACTCTCACTGAACCAGGGAGCGCGATGATCTCAATGACTACTACACCCACTCAGGTATGTAGGTATACCTCATTTTACGGACGATACAATCCCAAACAGAAACAACCGGAGATAACAGAAGGGAGACGTTGTAGGAGTTTGCAGACTTATCCCTTGGAAGCATTCGTCCTAATTTCCAACATCCCTTAACTTGTCCCATTTTCTACAAAGGAAACATTACTAGATTAGACTTGCGCTAACAGGAATCTCAAAGCAATATACCAAACCAAACCAACCCATCTGCTTTCTTAACCTAATGAAAGCTGCAAGACCTCAAACATTCAACAAGAAAGCTTTTTCACAACCAGCTGAATCGTAGAAGTTTACTTAAATAACTCACTGAGGTTACCACACTTGACCTAGAAGAAACAGTGGTTCAAAATAATTAACACTGGTCAACAAACCAAGAAAAATTGAATGCACATAGTCTCGATCAACATTGAAACCCTAATTCTGAAAGCTAACACCAAACTGCAGAAACCCTTAATAAATAATAATCCACGAAATCATAAGCCAAATTTAACGAAATTTCATCGACATGAGCAAATTCATACTGCTGCACATTAAATCTGGGAGAAACCAGGATCGGATCAATCAAACTATAATTATCAGATCTGTTACAGAAACTAATGCATACACAAAAATCAGACCAAACACGAAATGAATAAATCGGTTCAGAGATGACAACCTAAGGTAATCAATCATGAAGTATTCCAAAATAGTTCAAAATTGAATTGATCTATGGAAATTGAAGATTGAATCGAAGCAATTGTGAAAAGGAATTGGATCCTAACCTCGGCAAAATGGCATAGAAGCAGACTATTCGATCAAATCGCGGACGTAAAGTTGCTATTTCGATCCCGATAGAGATAAACGCAGAGACGAAAGAAGCGACAAGATTTTGAGAACGAAGATTTTGAGAAAGAAGAGACACTGGAGCCCATTATGGTATTTAAAATCCAATTAAAAAGTGACACGTGTGGGATGAGATGCAGTTCTAGAATGGGAGTGGAAGTTTTCAATTGGGATTTGGGAACTTTGTATGAATGACCACGTGGCGACCTAAACTTGATTAGTCGATGATATATATGTATGGGACCCATATATTTGTTCGGCCGTTAAGTATTGCCATTGTATTTGGTAATGAACGGCTGAGATTGGATCTTAGGGGGTTTATTGAAACAAGGATTTTTGAAATTTTTGGTTTTTTTTGTTAAAATCCACTGTTATTCAATTAGTGATTTTAAAATCCCTTCCCAAATTCCATGTTATTGAAACTGAAATTTATGTAAAATCATTCCAAATAATTCAAAATCCCTTGTTATTCAATTAAAAATTTATAAAAACCATATCAAATCCACTGTTATTCAAACTTTACAATTTTTTTTTAAAAAATACTGAAAATGGATTTGGGGAGATTTTGGATACCTTTTTAGTACAAAAATTAGAACAAAACAATCATATTTGAAAGAATTAAAACAAAAATGTCCAAAAAAATACATGCTAATCTAGCCGGCAATTCAGTCACCACACCTCCGTCTCCATCTCTCCGTCTTAGTCCACCACTTCGTTTGATCTAACTTCACACACACCAACTTTTTCTCCGCGATAATCACCATAAACAATATAATCATCAAAGTGGCTACAAGAAGCAATTGACCATGTCCAGTAACAACAAAAACCAATTGACCATGTCCAATAGCATTGAAACCCCTTATCTTTCTCTGCAAAAAACCAAAGAAAAGAAGCAATTGACCATGTCCAATAATAGCATTAAAAAACCTTGTCTTTTCATTCATCACCAATAGCTCACGTTATCTCCCTCTTGGAAGCACTACACATTTATAATCATCCACACATACACCATCCCACGATGCAGTCACAAAGAAGTTGTCCAAGCTTTCATCCTCGAGGTCATAAACCACCGTTGCACACACTTCTCCCTTCTTCTTGTTCGGTGTAACTGTATCCCCTTTACATCCTAAAGCTTGAAGTGCTCTAAATGGTATATTGATCCCATAATCTTCTACAGTCCTAAAAACCTAACAAAAACAAAAGTTTGATTCAAACGTACACATAGAGTAATGCTCAACGAGTTTGATAATTGCGGATCAACGTTTCGAAGAAAAAAAACTTCATCTCGCAGTTATAGACATTTTTGTCGTGGGATTAAAAGGGCACAATATTGCTGATATAGAGAAGAGAGACGATGATTGCTCACATGTGAGATTTGGAGTGAGATACTCTGATTAGTTTTTTTAAAATCGTCGACTTCTGTTTTGTTTTCGTTAATAAACCCTCCTAAATGACTCTAGTAAATCTCACCTAATCACTGATTATTTTTCTTTAAAAAGAAAAAGAAAACTAACAAATCAACCTAAATATCCTAAAAACTTATTCAAATCTCTCCAAATACTAAAATATGGAAATTCCACTAAATCCCTCAAAATCTTTAATTCAATACACCCCTTAGTGAAAGCAACAGGTGTAGGACTGTCAAAATAAAATAATCGTGGGCCTTTTATGGGCTAAATCTTAGATTTTGATAGTAAATTTAGATGGGCTTTCATGTTGCGCTCTGCCCTAATAACTACTTCTCCACGGCAAAATGTCATAGGTGGGCCATGTGTAATCAGAAAATTATTAAATTGTGATTATTCATTCGTAAATACATTGCTTAAAAAGGTGCGTTTATAATTTTGATTCGTTTCACCAAACGAATCTTCGTAACGCTTTTTCGTGATTTCACTTTCCCAGTTTTATCTCAAACTCTCTCTCTGTCGTCTTGATCGATCTCCCAAATCTCAAATTCGGAACAAAACACATAATTTGGTTCGGTCTTCTTCTTCAATTTTCACCGACACAAACCCGTATTTTCCTCTTCTCTCTCTCATTTCTATCAATTTTCTCGACAATTCCCCAGTCGTCGAAGAAGCTACAGGTAAACCGATATAACCATCTTCTCAATTTCTCCTCTTCTCATCGCATTATGTTCATACCTCGCCGTTTATGTTTTGTGAATCGAGATCGATTTGTTGTTTTTGCATTCCAGAATCTTGGTTTGTTTTTTTTTTTTTTTTTTTTTGAATTATGGATTACACAACCGAATTCAATCTTAATCTTCCGTGAACTTTAACCGAATTTTTCTTTGTTCGTGTTTCCCTTGATCGCCACGAAAGTTTCAGATTTTTTTTTTGGATTTTCTTAACCGAATTTAGTTTAATCTTTGCTGATGTTCTGTTTCATGCCATGTTCTAAAATATTGTTTTTTAAACTCATCACCAGCTTGCAATTTGCTCGTGTTCTCTTCCATCGTTCCAAAAAGCCTTTTCATGGCTTCCACGGTTGATTCCAATATCTTCTCATCCGTCCCAGCTCTTCAGAGTAACCTCGGAATTTTGTCTCCTGATCAGGTTTCTACTTCTTCATTTGTCTTCTGTTTACTAATGATATCCATTCGTTTCTTACCTTGTGTGATCTGATTTTGTGGCAGATCGAATTGGCCAAGATCTTATTGGAAAATGGTCAGAGTCATCTCTTCCAACAATGGCCTCAACTTGGCGTTGATGACAAACAGAAACTAGATTTTTTCGATCAGGTTTTTTTCATACATCTCAATGTTTTGATGAATGGACTTAGAAACAGGACTTAATATATATCGTTTTGTTTATTAGATTGCTCGCTTAAATTCAAGTTATCCTGGGGGTTTAGCGGCATACATTAAGACTGCGAAAGAGCTTCTCGCTGATTCGAAATTAGGGAAGAACCCATATGATGGTTTCTCTCCTTCTGTAAGCAACATAAATTTTTCTTTTTTTTGGTTATGAATTCAAAAGTTTTAATGTGTGTGTTGTCTCTATTGTTTTGTAACAAATGGTTCATGTGGTGTTTGTAGGTTCCTTCAGGAGAAAATCTTACTTTTGGTAATGAGAACTTCATCGAAATGGAAAATAGAGGTGTCGTCGAAGCTAGGAATGCCGCTTTTGTTCTTGTTGCTGGTGGTCTTGGCGAGCGTCTTGGTTACAATGGAATCAAGGTAAATAGTGAACAATGTTCCATTTACTTAATCACTATCCGTAGATAGAATATTATATATAATGTTTGAGAGGACTGCTTGTATAAACTTATCCAGTCAATGAGGAACACAAACATATTACTTACTGTTTTGAGATTAGACCTCCAAGCAAATTTGACCCAGTTACGAATCTATTTCTTAGGTGGCACTTCCAAGGGAGACAACTACTGGGATATGCTTCTTGCAGCACTACATTGAATCTATATTGGCTCTTCAAGAAGCTAGCAACAAGATCGCTTCTGGTATGTCTCTAATTTTTCAATCAACATAAGTGAATAAGTACTTTTTCACATTCCTCAGAGTAATTGTGATTGTATATTTCTGCAGATGGAAGTCAGAGAGACATTCCTTTCATTATTATGACATCTGATGATACACATTCACGTACACTGGAGCTATTAGAGTCAAACTCTTATTTTGGGATGAAACCTACTCAAGTACATCTTCTAAAACAGGTAAATGATCATCTACGGTGTGTCCTAAACAGAGTTTATGAAAACTTGAAATGTTTTGAGAAACAATGCACTATTGGCTACTTTTTTTACCAGGAAAAAGTTGCATGTCTTGATGATAATGACGCCAGGCTTGCATTAGACCCTCACAACAAATACAGTATCCAGGTACTTGTTTTCGTGTTAACGTTTCCAAAGCTAGTACAAATATTTCCAGGCTGACTGTCGTTTTCTTGGCTATTCATAGACGAAACCTCATGGACATGGCGATGTTCATTCACTTCTATATTCCAGTGGCCTTCTTCATAAATGGTATTTCTTCTTTGAGATAGCATTTACGTTAATTTCAGATATATGTTATTTTATAAGTTTATTGCTAATATTGTCTCCTTTTATTTGTTGCAATTTCAGGCTTGATGCTGGTTTAAAATGGGTTTTGTTTTTCCAAGATACAAATGGTCTTCTCTTCAATGTTAGTTAGCAGCTTCTCAACGCTCGTGTGATAAATATTCATACAATATTTGTTGGAAATTTAAAATTCCTTAATGTGCTTCATTGGTTCAGGCAATTCCAGCTTCTTTGGGTGTGAGTGCAACCAAACAGTATCATGTTAACTCTCTTGCTGTTCCCCGTAAGGCGAAGGAAGCTATTGGAGGAATTACTAAACTTACTCACGTTGATGGTAACTTATCTAAATAGTAGAAATCCACAGTATTGATACACTTGTTCAATGACACTTTGTATTTTCCGTTTGATAATCGAGTGGATGGATTTAAATGGTTTCTAGGCAGATCTATGGTTATCAATGTGGAGTACAATCAACTTGATCCTCTACTTAGAGCATCTGGATTCCCTGATGGAGATGTTAATTGTGAGACAGGCTTTTCGCCATTCCCGGGAAATATTAATCAAGTGAGTTGTCTTGTCTTCTACTCGACGAGCCCGGATTTGTCTCTCAAGACTCTAAATATTTTCTATCTTGTTTATGTTTTCCATTGCAGTTGATTCTGGATCTTGGTCCCTACAAAGACGAGTTGCAAAAAACTGGAGGGGCCATCAAAGAGTTTGTTAATCCAAAGTAATTCTTCTTCTCTCTCCCTTTGAGTCGTCTTTCCTTATTGTTCCCCTTCTTGAAATATATCATTCTCTTCAGTGTTTCTCATTAGAGAGTAATTATCACTAGTAGTTTTAGTCAGATGCTTTGACATCTACTCTCTGGATTATATGATAGATACAAGGATAGCACCAAAACAGCGTTTAAATCTTCAACTCGTCTAGAGTGTATGATGCAAGATTATCCAAAGACATTGCCTCCAACAGCACGAGTTGGATTCACGGTAATTACTATCTGTAGACTAAAGCAGTACTTTAGTTATGCATGCTTGTTGTGACAATGGTTTCTTCATGTAGGTGATGGATATATGGCTTGCTTATGCACCCGTAAAGAATAATCCTGAGGATGCTGCTAAGGTAAAATACTTAATAAACAGAGCAAATATTGATCAATAAAGTTCATGTCTTAAACTGTAAATTAAATTTGAAAGGAATACTAAATATGAATGATGGTACTTCCTTTCTGACTATATAATACGGTTTTTTGTATCCACTGAAGGTACCAAAGGGAAACCCATATCACAGTGCAACTTCTGGAGAAATGGCGATTTATCGTGCTAACAGCCTCATTCTTCAAAAGGTAAATGAGTTGTATTGATCTCTGTTTCACATAAGCCTCTGAACTGTCCAACTTGTTTCTAATTTCTGGTTAATCCCATGCTAGTACTCTCTCGAGAGATTGATTCTAGTGTATGTCCTTAAATAGTCTCCATGATTCTCTAAAGCAAAATCTATTTTCTTTGGTTTTACGAATACCTCAGGCTGGTGTCAAAGTGGAAGAGCCTGTGAAGCAAGTCTTGAATGGCCAAGAGGTTGAAGTATGGTCTCGTATCACATGGAAACCCAAATGGGGAATGATCTTCTCTGATATCAAAAAGAAAGTCAGCGGGAACTGCGAGGTCTCTCAGAGATCCACGATGGCTATCAAGGGTCGTAATGTTTTTATTGAAGATCTCTCCTTGGATGGTGCTCTTATTGTAGATTCCATTGATGATGCAGAGGTATGTAATATGTTCTTGAAAGCTATCATTCCGTTGTTATCTCTTTTGATTTTATCATCCTATTAAGCTACTTATGTGATATTGTGAAAACAGGTTAAACTTGGAGGTTTGATAAAGAACAATGGTTGGACCATGGAGAGTGTAGATTACAAGGACACATCGGTTCCAGAAGAAATAAGAATCAGAGGTTTCAGATTCAACAAAGTGGAGCAACTCGAAAAGTATTTCACTCAACCTGGAAAATTTTCTGTGGAAGATTGAAGTTATCTTTGTGACACTTTGAAAAAGTGTTATTTGGCAATATGATTAATTAGCAAATTATCTTTTTTTTTAAATGCCAAATGATCCATTTGTCCTTCTAATTGAGGGCTTAATTCTTTCTTTATGTTTTTCTTTTTCTTTAAACTTTAATGTTTAAACTTTCAAAGATTTTTCTCATAACCCCAAGTATGGATAATCTCCAACCTCACACAACTATTATGTGGCTTGATATTTGTTTTTTTTTCCTTATTATTATTTGATTATTTATTACAATTAATGCATTTATATATACTATTAGAAATATTTTGCCTTTTATCCCAAATAAAAAAAACTATAGTTGGAATATTGATTTAAAGTAAAATTATTTATGTTTTATAGATTTTGTAAAATTATTGTATTGGTAGAATCTATGTGTGTGGATTCTAAAATTTTTTAAAAATGGATTTTGTTTCTAATTATTTTAACTATTGAAACTTTATTGCAAGACATAAGATATTAATGCAGAATTTGGAATCATTAAATAAAGCACATTATGCTTGGATTTTAATTCAATAAAAATCCATGATTAATTAAGTACAAGTGTACAACACCTAACACTTGTTGGTCACGTCACTTGAGATGTCTCCACTTCATCTTCCCAATAGATTATCTGTCTGTTGATGCTTAGTAATTCCCTCTATTCTATACATGCATGGTGAATTTGATATACATAAATCTTCGTCTAAATCTAACAACCGATAATTCTCTTTCAAAAATTAGGGTTAAAAGGTCCAAAAGTCCCTCCTAACGTCATGTGGAAGCGAGAATCGAGCGACGAAGAATCATCACAGAGTCATGAGAATCTGGAAGCTCAGAGATCTTCCTTGCCCTCTGTTCAGAGCTCCTCTCCTCATATGTTCTTGCCCTCTGCCTCTGCACCAGAAGAACCTCTCAATTTTTCTCAGGTTCTGACGGGAGTTCGGGTAATTGGATTTTTATTTTTGGATAAACCTTCTATATATATATATATATATATATATATAGGTCTCTCTCTCTCTCTCTCGATCCAAAAAACTGACTCTGAATGTGGTTTTCAAGGAACTTGATCTTGTACCGAACCGAAACTCATCACATAGTTATGAGAATCCGATGTTCTTGCCCCCTCCTCCGATGTTCTTGCCCCATGCTCCGCTGTTATATCCTCTCTCTTCTCTCAATAGTTGGTCTCGGGCTGAGAGTGGCCGGGCGCAACAATTTCGGTCTCGGGTAAAAAATGGATTTTATTCTGCATTTAAATCGTAACACTGATTCCTCTTTATGTGAATGTGAATGTGTGTTTTATTTTGTTTTATGTTTTAAAGGAGTCGATTTTTTACCCTTACAAAGAGGAACAAATACTGTCTAGTGAGGAAGAGCTCTTTGGTAAAGTTGGACTTCATTGCTACAATCTGCAACATGTAAAAATATCTTTCTTTTCACTTGGGCCACTAATGAACTTTTGCTTATCTCTACTACTGGTTTTGTATATCATACAAGTTGTAGTGATTTTAGTTGAACTTAGCTCGATTATTTCTTACGCTGTAACATTGGAGGCAGTGGATCCAATGCGGCCGCGCAATTCCAGTTGCCAGTTCGAAACACTGGCTAGGCATGCGATTGAGAATAAAGATTGCTTGAGTGCAATTGTAACAGAATGTAGAATAAAGCCGCAAAATCCAGGTAAAATGTAAATCGGTAATGCTACCTTTAATTTGTTAGTTAAAAACTTTCATGCATGACTCAATATATTTTTGTCTTATTAGTGTGTATCTAGTTCCCATCTTAGATGCTGACTATTTTCACTTGGCTATTATTATATGAGAGTATCTCTCAGACTCAGAGGAGAGACGCGGCAATAATCCCTTTAACAAAGCTCTCGTGGATGATTTCTTCAAAGGTAAGATGCCCGATTGGATGCCGGAGGGCGCGCTAACGGGAAGTAATAAGCTGCAATACTATGAGGTGAGCGTTTTTTTTTTTCTCTTAAATGGGGAAAAAGGTGATGTGGTGTTGTTGACATGCATGATTTTGCAGATGAAAGAATCAGAGGTTGAAGAAAACAAGGAATGGCTTCATCTATACGCGGAACTCGCCTTGTTGACCTTGCAAGGATCTGAATTGGTGAGGATTATAAAGACTTGACTAAGAAAAAACAAAAGTAGAAGGGGAATTTTTTTGTGTTGGTAGTAATAATGATCTCTCTTGGTGTGTGTGTTGCTGCAGAAAACAATTCAGCCTGTAAAACCGTTGGAGCTGAGAAAGATAGTTGTAAGAACAAAAGAAGATGTGGAGTCGAAGAAAAAGGTCAAGGCGGAGAATGCAATCTTCTACATTAGCTTCAAAAACTGTTGCGGTCGAGATTACAATGTTATCGTTAGGAGAACAACAGATGGAATCCCAGAGCATTTTTCGCTTGAAGTCAAGTGTTGTTGATCTCATAATCGAACATGTGTTGTTTGCTTTCGAGTGTTATGTTTTAATCTAAACGGTCAACAAAACTATTTGTGCTCTAATTAGTTTCTTGAACATATTAATATTATTATTATATATGAGGTTTGACAACATTGGATTAGAAATTCATAGCATGGTTTTTCAATTTTCAGTTCATACGCTCTTTTCTTTGTTAGGCACATAGATAAAATATAAATTACTAATTAGAAATATTGAATTAGCGTGACTCTTTCTTCTACGTCATTTTTATATATCTACTAAAAAATTATTAGTCCTTAATATATTACAAAAACATATATAAAAGAAGTAAAATTGGGGTTATATAGCAATTAAGAGGTAGAAGAACCCTTGTTGTATAACTTGATTCTCCGGCTTACCTCTTTCTCCAACTCTTCTTTTCCTCCCACTTCTTCCACTTCCTGCACCATATTCCCAAAATCAAAACCCAGATCATGCCAACAAACAAACAGAAACCAATTCACGTGTAAAACAAAAGTAACATGCAAATTATCACTTGATATCTCTTATTTAAATTTTTGAAAAGGTGTTATAGATTCTTGCCTTGGGTCCAAGAAACAGCCCATATGGTACACCCTTGAATTTGTCTGTGTGGTGTAGCTGAAATGTTAAAACCACATAATCTTCATTAGATTAATATTGTAAATCGATCGTAATTATGTACTTAAGAACAATTAAGACCGCTGTATAATGGTATTAAACCTGGTGAGCGGCCGCGACCTTTCGAAGGTAAGGAACGTTGGCAATGGGACCGACAGGGAATCTCTTGTGCACGAGTCCATCGTGGACGAACATGTAAGCCATTCCAAAAACCGTTATTCCCAGTCCCTGGTCCATATACAAACCAGTCCGCTAAGAAAAATTGCAAGCTCCAAAACCATTTCGAATATAATTAAATTTGAACTCGATTTGGACTGAATAATTTCATTTTGGTTAGGTTCTTTATGCTCACTCCTATTAAATTATACGGAATAATACTCGTTTAGTAAAGTTTCATGTAGTTTAAGTGCCGAATCTTTTATGGTTGGACGGTACTAAATCTCACCCAACTCACACACGTTTACACTTTTGTGGGACGGTGAAAATAAAACCCACCGAATTTCATACTTTCGGTTTCGGTGACTTAATTAAAAAAATTAGCTTAATATTTTCAGAAGTCAAATACCAATTTACTATTGCTTCTCTCTGTTTTTTTAATAACTTTTTATCTTTTTCTTTTTGAGTTTTGGATATTGTCGAAAAAGAGAAAGAGAGAAAAAGACTTACGGCACCGAAGCAGAGACCAGGAACAAGTCCTTTATTAAAGAATCCATAATAGAGTAGACCAATCGCAGGAACCGCGTTTATTATAGCGAACACATCGTTTAACTCAAACGCTCCTTCTCTTGGTTTGTGATGAGACTGCCCACAAACCACTAAACCGGATGAGATTTTTTCCATTTGTTAGCAGTAAACCGGAAAAGAAAACCAGAATAATATGAAAAACTAAATTACCTCATGCATGTTCCATAAAGAATCGTGCCAAAGAGCCCTATGAGCCCATCTAGCCCAAAACTCCATCCCAACCTTCAAATCCAACCAAAAAAATTACAAAAATTTGATATAGGGTTCTTATACCGTTCGACTTGTAAGAAAATTTGGTTCGCATTTAGATCGATAAAAATTTTGGTTTGGTTCGGATTTTATTTTATCACCCCAAAGTAGGAATGTAAGAATGAAACTCACGACAGCACCAACTGAGAGAGCAAATGTACCAAACATCTCTGATAAAGGCACTTCACCTCCCTAAATCCAAACCAAACAATCGAGTTTCAGTTTTCCGAATTCGGACGGAAAAATATGGAAAAATCGAATGATTATTTCTGTGTTTTGTTATTAAATTACCTTCATTTGCCAAGAAAATCGGTAATAAACAGCCATGATAGCCATAGAAGTAATACCAAAGCTTGACATCACAGCTGCGATTAGATAAGTGAATCTCTCTGATTTCTTCTTCTCTGCTTTCTTGAGAAGCCGCGACGTCATCAAGATCTCAGAAGAGCTCGTCGTGCTTTCCGGTTTGTCGTCCATGGGAGAGCTCTGTTTCCGTTCTTCAACGACAAAACAAATGGTGAGGATCTTTCGACGTCTTAAGCCGTTGAATCTGAGAGATGGAGGGAAAACTGCGGCGGAGATAGGGTGGTTTAGGCGGGTGAGTGGTTTGAGTGTTACGGCGATGGATGAGAGTCCTGCTGCCATGGAAGGAGCTCGTTGAGGTTTTATGAAACTTTGAAAGAGACAAAGAGATAGAGAGAGAGAGATGATTGTGTGGTAAAGCTTTGCAAGAGACAAGAGCTAAATGGAGAGAGGCCACATTTTTATTTTATTTTATAAACATCAATTAAACCTATACCATTTGTTTACTTTTAAAAAATAATAAAACAAATATTATTGTGTAACTTATTTTAATTATGTTGAGTTAAATTACAATAATATTGTTAATCTTTTTTTTTTTTTAATAAGAAGAAAAGAAATCACATTTTTGGTAAAAGCAAGCAATATCAAACAAATACAAAAAGTGGGTTTAGAATTTGAGGTAAGGAGAGGTGATGGGGCTATTTTCTAGGATTTGCCCAAGTCATCGACAGCGAATCACTCCCACTTCTATTTAATGGATCCACGTGGCCTCTTCTTACACCGAATAAGCGAGAGGAGTATCACCATCTCCCACATGTCCAATCCTTATTTGTTCATTCTGTTTCATCAGATTACTAGGTAAATGAGGTATTGCTTTGAAGCTTCTAGTTCTCGTTCTAAACTTAGAAAGGATCTCAAATGAGGTATTGCTTTGAAGCTTCTAGTTCTCGTTCTAAACTTAGAAAGGATCTCAAGTGGTGGATATGTGCTTCCATGCATTTTTCACAGCAGATTTCAGCTTGATTTGTAGAGTTTTGACCATAATTGTTGAGTAATTGTCAAAACAAAAATAAAAGAAAATATGAAACGATTGTGATTGAAATATATATGTACGTGAGTGATCAGAGCCCGGTGAGACAGTGAAGAAGTTACCAAAAAGCCGTAACATGCTAATCTCCAGGAGGAGATGAAAGACATTGTAATTGTAATCACGGCCAAAGATTTGTACACAATAAAAATAGAAATATGAGATAATGAGCAAAAAAATGAGTACAAACAAGTCTTCACACTCTCAACAATCTTTGCCTAGAAAAGACTTTTTTTTTTTTTAAACTGCCTAGAAAGGACTGATTTTAAATAAAACGAATATGATTAGTGCCATTACTACAATGATTAATCCCTAAAGGACATGATAAGAAAACAAAACCTTAATAATGTTATGTGAGACATGTATACGGACATTCTACAAAGAAATACCAAATATAGTTATATCCAGTCCCAACATGTATACGTACATTTCAACATTTAAAAGAGGTTTACTTTCATATAGTGGATGTTACAAACTTACAACAACAAAAAAAACTTAACATTTCATTTGAGAATTGATACAATTTTTTAATTGTTATTTTGAATAAAAATTCAACTACGTCATTTCACTGTTTGAGTTAAAACTGATCTTGTAAAGTTATTTATTTTTGTTATTCGCTTATCAGATTTTATAGATCTTAAGTTTTTGGAAACGTGTATGAAAAACCCATATTTTAATTCCGGTTTGATTCGGTTCAATTTTGATTTGGTTTTAAATAAAAAGTAAACATAATTGTTTAATTTGTATTTGACTCAACTAAAAATATGAATTTTTACTAAATTCTGATTAATGTGGTTCAGTTGCACCAATTTCGCATTTGCTACTATATAAATTTTATGTATTTTTGTGTTATTCGGATTATTATAAAGTTGACTAAATCGATTAAATTTGGTTCGGTTCGGTTACAACGCCGACCCGTAATTAACACCTTTTTAACTGCAGAATTAATGAAGATACACACGTAATCGAATATTCTCGACGACGCGTAAGCTTCCTCTCTAATTACTTCGTCTTCAGGGTAATCGATCTCTCATCTCTATCTCTCTCTCCTCGTCAAATCACCATGAGTATGGAAGCATCGGAGCTACAGGATCTCTCCGACGACGCCGATTACGCCGCTTCTCAACAACAAGTTTGTTATTCTCACTTTCTCGTTCTTCTCTTGCTTTGATACGTTGTTCAACAACAAGTGGATCGTAGTTTCCCGATGGATCATCTCCGCCAATGCGAATTTGAATTCGTTATCTATTTGATTCGATGTTTGAATCGATCGTTTGATTGTGTTCTATGTCTCTTGATTTTGTTAGGGATCGGCTAGTATGATGCGTAGCGATAGCGGAAAGAGAAGTTCACCAAGTGAACACGATGACGCCGAATTGATATATTTGAAAGATAACGTTGCAATTCATCCTACACAGTTCGCATCTGAGAGGATTAGTGGTAGATTGAAGTTGACTAAGCAAGATTCTGTTCTCTTCTTGGTAATCAATCAATTGCAACTCCTTTTTGTATGGATATGATCCAAGAATTTAAGAGGAAGAAATTGATTGTTTGATGTATTAGTTTGTATTCATTTACTTACTTGTTTCCATTTTTTGATATATGATGGCTAGTCGTGGATTCCATACAAGGGACAAACTTCAAATGCAAAGTTATCAGAGAAAGGTAATTAGGATTCTTTGAACTGAATTTGTATATGTTGGTATTGAAGATAATGCCTTAACTTTGTTCTTAGTTTCTATATCTTTTCTAGACAGGAGTCTTTATACCATCACCGCGGTTCCGTTTACTGAAGTGAGGTCCATTAGGCGACACACTCCTACTCTCGGATGGCAGTATGTTATTGTTGTCCTGTCTTCTGGTAAGCAAAACTTCGGCTGTTGCTTTTTGTGAGATATATATAATGAATATATTGAATTACTTTAATGGGAGGGGGTTTCCCTTTTCCTTCTCGACAAGTCGAATGATTTACACTTACTCGTTTAAAATGACCTGCAGGACTTGCATTTCCGCCTCTGTACTTCTATAATGGAGGAGTCAGGGAATTTCTGGCCATAGTGAAGCAGCATGTTTTTCTTGCAAGGTTTGTGTCTGATGTGAGATAGTTTTTGTTCCTGGCCTTTTTTGATGTTCTTATTTATAACCTGTCTTTATAGTTTGTTCGGTTACTGTATCAAAGTAGCTTAGGAATGCACAGTGTAAATGTATTGACAGGCATTTATAGCACTTGTTACTTACTCATTAGAGAAGCCTAACATGAAAACTTTTGGCTCACCAGAGTTTATCATCGTATGGAACTGGATGACTCGTTACATAGTTATGCCACAAAGAAAATATTCAGAATTCATAGTCTTACATGATACTAGCTTTTTATAGGTCGTCAGAAGATCCAAATGTGTTCATTGTGAATGATTTTCAGAGTCCCTTGCAGGTAATCATATCAGATCATCTCATGTTGGGTGCAGTGATAATTGTTTTTATTCTCTTATTGGCTAATAGATTTTATCATAATATCCGACAGAGAACTTTGTCTTCATTGGAGCTGCCAAGTTCACTGCCTGTAGCAAGTGGACAATCAGTATACCCCTTAGACGGAGGTTCTTCTAACGAAAATCAAGGGAGAACAAGTGCAGATATTGGTAATAGAGTTTCTAGTGTTATCCAGTCTGGTCTGAGAAAGCACAAGAGTCATGATCCAACTCGGGATCTTTCAATTCATCTTCTTGAGAAGTTTTCTCTGGTTACCAAATTTGCTCGAGATACAACTACTCAGTTGTTTTCCGAAAACAATGGCTTTGGTTCCGTTGACAAGAGATGGAATAACCTACCCGTACATAGTTATCCTGAAAAGTTGTCAAATATTGCTGAGGAAAAGCATAATGAAATCCGTCATAGTTATTCTGAAAATGACCTTCTCAAGGATGAAGAAATTTCTAATGACATTGATGTCCCTGCGGATCCCTTAGAGGTAATGATCATTTTTTTGTTATAAGCATTAGCATGTTGGTGGAAACTATATTGGTATATTGTGAACTGTCCTGTGTTTGCAACATATAGTTTTTTTTTGTCTCTTGGATAGATTGTCATTTATTTTAAATGTACCTAATTACAAAATTCCATACATCATAAGTTTTTTTCCTTGTTCTGATTCATCCTGGATACCCAATTGACAATCATCTTGACCTTGGTACTCTAGTTATCCTACCGGGCATAATTCGAGTGCTTCTATGGGTGGACTTTATCCATGCATTTCAGTTGTGCTTGTACTTGCAGTTCGTTGGAACACTACCTTAGATACCAGTGACTATTGAGTTACAGCACTTTTGCTTGTTTTTGTTAAAGTTTGTTGAAAACACAGCTCTGAAAGTTCTTTGTTTTTGTATTCAAGGGAAATCAATTTGAAAACTAAGCATGTTAAACATTGATTGAAACGATCAGCTTTAGTTGATAATCACTTCTGCAATATATATGAATGATTCACCTTGTATTAGTAATATAAACATTTACGGATGGAATGCTATGCTACCAAATATTGAGAACTGATGATTAGCTGGCAGCTTGTTACAACAAGTACATGTAGAGTATGAAACTTATGAATTTGTTGAAGATTATGCCATTTAATTCTTACTCTTTTGCAGTTTAATAAATTAAGTTTGGTGTGGGGAAAGCCAAGGCAACCACCAATGGGGCATAAAGAGGTAAGCACTTTCGTATACTGCAATTTTTCAAAGTCTGGGAAGTTTAGAGAGGAAACTTTCTTGGGTGCTGTGTTTTTTCTTATACTAAATTTTAGAGAAGGTGAATCATTCATATATATCACCAAGCATTAAGTGTAAAATATCGACAGAGTAATGTGCAACCTGGTAGAGAATATATGTTTTGCTTCTTCGTTTGCTAAGTGGACGCATATCTATTTTCTATTAATCTCTGTTTAAATTCAAATTTTTGCTGGGCTCTTAGTTCACAGCGTTGTTGGATTCTGAAGGGCGAGTTGTGGAATCAAAAGCTCTTCGGGAGAGAGTTTTCTATGGAGGCATTGAGCACCAATTGCGAAGAGAGGTTAACTTTATATTTCATATGAAATTTTAATTTAAAAATAGGCTTGCGTAATTATATGCAGATTGATTTTGAAACTTGGGCTCATCATTGTAGGTATGGCCCTTTCTCTTGGGATATTATGCATATGACTCGACATATGCAGAGAGAGAATATCTTCGATCTGTCAAACGGATGGAATATGCAACATTGAAACAGCAGTGGCAGGTTCATTCATCATCATATCTAGATTCCTTAATAGGCTATGTAGTTCTTTTGCTCAATGATGCCTGAGCTATTTACATAAAAATTTCAGGCGTTCGTAGAGTAGTTTATTTCCCTCATGTAGCAGCACTTTTAAATAGTATATTTTTTTTTGACAGAGCATTTCCCCTGAACAAGCAAAAAGGTTCACAAAATATCGGGAGAGAAAAGGATTGATAGATAAAGATGTGGTAAGAAGAGTTTGAGAATTGTGATAAATGTGGTGTGCCTTATTCACGGAATTCCTGTTAAGCTATATTCCTGGTTTCTTCTTGTGTAGGTAAGAACTGATAGGGCATTTGAATACTATGAAGGGGATGACAATCTACATGTCAATAGCATGCGTGATATTCTGTTGACCTACTCCTTCTACAATTTTGACCTGGGTTACTGCCAGGTACTCATCAGTTTTCAAAGTTCATTCTTAGCACTGAATTACAAGTTGGCGTTGTCCTTACTGTTATGAAACCATATTTTGGGTTGGTTGCCCCACTTAGCGTATAAGCTGAACTGCTGGACACTCTTCTATTTCTGGCTTTTGCTTTGAATTTTTCCATTGTGTGTTTAACTGATAAGTGTTTTTTTTCTGATTGTTAGGGAATGAGTGATTATCTGTCTCCTATCTTGTTCGTGATGGAGGATGAATCAGAATCCTTTTGGTGTTTCGTGGCACTGATGGAACGCCTTGGACCCAACTTTAACCGTGACCAGAATGGGATGCATACTCAGCTCTTTGCACTCTCAAAGGTCTATAATTTTTTTCTCGAGAACACTTCTACAGTTTACATTTTGCATTTCTTCCTTTCTATCAGCATTCGGCATCAATGTTGGGATCTGAATCTGAAGCATTTTCTTTTACATTTTCACTGTCCCACAGCTGGTAGAGTTGCTCGATACCCCGCTGCATAATTACTTCAAGCAGAATGACTGCTTAAATTACTTCTTCTGTTTCCGCTGGATCCTGATTCAGTTTAAAAGGTTTGTTTCTTCTTTTTTGCCTCTTTCTCGTTATTGTTTTGATGTTTGTACCACAGCCTCATTTTGGGCTGGACAAGAATTACTGCCACCCTACCAAAAATTGGGATATCCGGAGTCTATTGGTATTGGGAATTGGATATCATCTGTGATTAGTTAACCAGTTTACCCATTCTGCAATACCCGGCTAGAAACCTTTCCAATGTCTGAGATATCTAAAGAAAATATATTGTCTAATATACCTGAAATACGTTCCATAGCACTTTGAATGTGAATGACGAGTATTCCCAATATTGTTTTCTTAATTTCAAGAAGAAATTTTGTTTCTTGTAATTTTTTGCTGTGTTGTATCTGATTCTGGTGACAATGTGTCTTAGGGAATTTGAGTACGAGAAGACAATGCAGCTGTGGGAGGTGATGTGGACCCACTACCTCTCGGAACATTTTCACCTATATGTTTGTGTGGCGGTCTTGAAGCGATGCCGCAGCAAGATAATGGGAGAACAGATGGATTTTGACACTCTCTTAAAGTTCATCAATGAGCTGTCTGGGCATATTGACCTCGATTCAACAGTCAGAGATGCCGAAGCACTTTGCATATGTGCTGGTGAAAATGGTGCCGCTAGTATTCCTCCAGGAACCCCTCCTTCTTTACCCCTTGATGACGGTACCTTATATCCTCAGGAAGATGATGTTTTGTAAGTAATACAACTTTGCTTTTTCTTCAAGACATGTTACCAAAATTTGGATTGCTTTGACCAGAAATCCCATACAATGATTAAGTCAATGGACATAAGCTTTTTTATTTTTTTGCACTTGTTAATACTCTGGTTCGAAAATAGCTAGGGATAAGTAACTCGATATAAATTGTATAACTAAAGCAATAATGACTCGAAAAGTCTATGCAAGAATTTATCCCTCGAGATAAATCCAGGAAAGTCCTAAAGCAGAGGAAAGAAATCAGTAAAGGCAAAACATGGGTCAAACACAAGAGTGTTGTCTGGGTAGTGGGAAATAAGTGGCAAGGGAGATCCTACGTGGACGTCATAGCCAAAGTGGTTGGTCTCCTCCATCCAGGTATTGCTCTCCTCTTCTCCTTCTCCTTCTTCTCCATGGCTTCTTCTCAGTTCTGTAGACATAACTGGCTTATCGGTGAAAGGAGTGGCGCCGATTGATTCAGGTGCATTCTGTTTTCGGGAACTAGATTTCTTGTTCAAATGAGTATTCCAGTAGTTCTTGACTTCATTGTCAGTGCGACCTGGGAGACGACCGGCGATCAACGACCATCTGATAGAAAAGAATAAGAAGTTAGTATCGCGAAAGTTATGAGAGGGAGGATCAATGGTGAAAGAGGAAAGACCGGTTTCCAAGAAGCTTATGCATGCGGATAATGAGGTCTTGTTCTTGAGGTGACATGCTTCCTCTTTTGATATTTGGTCTTAGATAGTTCTTCCATCTCAACCTACAGCTTTTTCCTCCTCTCTTCAACCCTGAAAAACATTCCTTAATTTCCCAAAATCCCGAGTAAACAAACATAAATTCACTATATAAAACTTTGGAAATCGAACCGGATCTACGAGAAATGTCTGCCCAGTTTCCTTCTCCATGAGTCTCAACACAGCTTTTTAATATCATGTCTTCTTCAGGTTGCCACAAACCTCTCTTCACGTAAGACTTCCCTTCTGCCCTTTTGTGTTCCATCTTTTATTTTTCTCTCTTTGCTTCCACAGTTTTGTAAGTGAGTGTGAAGCTGTTTATTAATTATATAGGCAAAAACTTTGAGGTCTTCCAACTTTAACTCTTACATGTGGGGACTATCTACTAAAATTATTGAAGAGAAAAAGAGAACAGTGGTTTGCACTTTTCCGACAGTAACACTACTGTAAATTCGTGCAAACTAGAGCTGTAAAAGCTCTCTATTCCCTTGTTTTTATCCTCAACATTGTCACAAATTATTGGCTTTTAAGGCAAACATATAAGCACGGGAGATCAGAGGTTGAAGATTGCCATCAACCTCGATACCTGCGTTAGTCCATTTACAAATACAATTTTGTGCGTTTACGGTTGTTACAAATATTCTTTCTCAAAAAAAAAAAAAAAAAAAAAAAATTCTTTCTCGCTCAAAAACGTGCAGCTAATTCAAAAGTTGTGCTCGAGATGGTTGTTCAAGAGTCAAGACTATTTTATAAGGGATAACAAATTAATATCTAACAATCTTAGAACAAAAAGAGAGGTATATGTCTACTATACATATTTGAGTGATCTATACATCTACATTCTAGTTCTTAGTTTTCAGATTTTAATTTTACGGAATTTGGTAAACACAATTCATCTTATTTTCTTTTTAATATGACATCATATGATATACCAGGATTAAAAAAAAAACTGAAAATGTATATATCTTTTAGTAAACTGGAATCTTTGAATGTTTATTAGTAAAATGTATATTACTTTAAAGTAGAAGTTTTCTCTGTCGTATCAAGCCTCTAGTTTTGTTGCTATCAATCTATCATCATCATTTTCATTGTCTTTCACTCTTTCATGTAAAATAATAGCATTATAACTACTTTCTGGCTGATAAACCTTCATAATTACGTAATCTTTTTTCTTTTGGATACATGTTGGATTGTCTAACGACTAACTCTTCTTGTTTTTTGTTTCACAAGGGTGATGTTAATTATATTCGTGTCAAATTTTTATTATTTGAGATTAATTAAGCTGTGTTGATGCTTTTAAGTTTTAACTTTTTTTTTTTTTGACATCTTTGGATCGACAAGGCCCGATCCATAGCCAATCCCTACTACGCGGGGTAACGCGATTTAGTGGAGTCGAACTCCGGTGGGGAAGGCGGAGTCATGTGGACTTAACCACTTGACTAAAGGCACATCCCCTTTTAAGTTTTAACTAATCATGTATAAACAAGAAGAGTGTAGGTAATGCCAATTCCAATTTTCTGATTCAATCTCAACAGATTACATTTTGTTTTAACTTTTAACGTTATATCTTATAACCTATTACGATAAATTTTTGAAAACCAAAGAAACTAGAATATTGCTATAGATGTCTTAAAAGAACCTTTAAACTATAACATCAGTACATAAGGATGTTTCAAGAATATACAGTTAATGTGGGATAAAACATGATTTTGCTTTCAAGTAACTTGCAATAGAATTAATTAGAGAGCATCGAAAAGAAAACCTGAAAATAATAATGAGAAGCTAACAACTAAACTTGTAGATAAGAAGTCACATTTACAGGCTGTACGTTCATTCCGACGCCTTCCAAAAGAATGACTAATTTTACGCCTAATTTACCCTTGTAATAAATCAGTTTAGTAGGCAAATTAAAGAACAATGGGATATGATACAATTAGTAGATTTTGCGTTAAGAAACCTAATATTTTCAGACCTAACATCAAAGCAAGCTATATTCTTCAAACCCTTGTTGCGTTCAGCCATGTAAATATGTAATACAAAACCCCATTGATGCATATCCCTTCACTTATAGGATAATGGTTTACTGTACGTTCGATCCAGTGCCGGCTCAAACATATCCTAGGCCCTGGGGCAAAAAAAAAAAAATGGACCCCTAGTATGTTAAAAAAAATAATATTTATAAGATTAAAACACAAAGAAAACATTATTTAAAAAAAATAAAGCAACAAGATCATTTTACAAAAGATATTTAGCCTAACAAAACAATAATTTTTTTTAGAATTATTGGTCTAAAGTAAATCAACTTCTAACTTGGACCCAACAAATTTGTAAAAGAAGAATTACGTTATTCTTAAAAAGAATGTAAATATATATGGGCCCCTTTTTTAATAATAATTTTCTTTTTTTCTGTTATACTTGCACAAATTTTATTATTTTTGGTTACGCTTTGTAAAAAAAAAAAAATTGTGTGGACCCCTTTTATTTGTGGGCCTCTGGTAATTGCCCAGCTCGCCCCCATGTTAAGCCGGCACTTCGATCTTCCTCCATGACATTTTTCCAGTTGTTCCTAATGTCAGAATATGTCCCTCTTCATATCGTGAATTGGTTATGGCTAGTACCTTGTAAGGAACAGCTCGGTGAACTCTGGACGTCTAAGTATGAACGAACATAATTTGGATGCGAGACCAAACCCTAGCGATTGATTTATTAGAACATCTCAAGAGTATCTCGTGAATGATGTCAATCGGGATCGGATCGGAGTTGTCATCATTCACCTAATGGGCTAAATGAATTAATGGGCCATCTTAAATTTATCGAATAAAAAATACAAACATAATGGTCCAAAGATAATATGTGTCTGATTCTATCGATCTGTTAAAACAGAGCTAGGATTGTGTTATTGTGGTCCAGTTGTTGCGCTCTATCTCTCTTCCAAAGAAAGAAGAGAAAACACTCAAACAGTCTATGCCTCAAAGAGCTTTCCTCTATTCCCATATGAAGAAGCTCGCTAGGTTTTTCTACTTAATCAGGCTTAGACAACTAATTTCAAAGCGATAATTCGCGGTCAATATATGACAAGCAGAAAGATATATGCTGTTAAAATTTTAAGACCCGCCTTTCTCCAAAGAGAGCGTTAAGTCTTCTATGATTAGTCTATGAATTACAATAAGATTGATATAATGTAAGGTTCATGATATTCAATCTCACACATGATTGAGAACTCAAATGAAAATGTAACATTATCAGCAATATTAATTATATATATATATATGGACTTTTTATATATAGACTTGTCACTCGCCGTTGTTACAACTTCTGATTGATTAATTAATATGTAAAATATATAAAGAAGAAACAAGACGAGAAAATGAGCATATATTATTACATTAAAAGACTTAAAAAAAAGTGACAAAAAATTAAACGAAAAAACAATCCATTCAACAATATTATAATGTCAACATCACTCTCCTTATTCTTATTACAAAAACATAATACTTTCAACGTAATCCGTGAAAGTAAGCACTAATAAAGATGGTCGATATGAGCATCTGATCCCCCCAAGCCAAACTGTATTTGAACGTTTCATCTTGAGATCAACATAGACAAGATAAAGATGATAAGATTGATCACGAGCTGTAACTATAAGCTCACCACTACCAGCAACAAAACCAACTAACTCTAGACAAACAAGATCATACGAGAACAACTCTCGAGGTAAAACGATAGAAACCTTAGACCATTCTTGTTTCCCGGCAACTTCCAAAACCCATAAATCATACATGTTAATATTTTTTGTAACAAGTAAAGCTAGTTTCCCTTGGTAGTTCACAAAGGTAAAGAAACCATAAAAGTTACTAGCCTCGACCGGTATTTCAATGAAATTACCAAACTTTTCCGTCGCCACATAGAATCTCTCAAGTCTCAGTCCATGCGCCGTGTGAGAACCGTAATACACAACCCCATCGATGCATACTCCTCTGGTTGCGGGAGAATGATTATTCTCAACCTCAATCATTTTCCATGAACCTTGACCTCCCAATGTAAACACTTCCACTTTATAGGGACATACTAACTTTTCTTTTGAGAAAAACAATACCTTATATTGACAATTGATAGGATCGTATCCCATATACCATTTCCTAAACGGTTTATAGGGAGCGGATTGGGGCAAAAGTACGCCTTTTCTCGTGGCAGGATTGTATATCCACAATCGATGCATGTCTTCGAGACATATCAAGCCATTGACGCAATCAGGCGTGAGAGAAGTATTATCGACGCAGCATATCGCATTGGTAACCAAAGAAGGTTGGGATGATAAGAAGAAATGCCAACGAGAAAACGTGAATATATCACGTAAAGCAAACATGACATGTTGCTGATGAGTAGAGGATCGAGATTGGTATAAGTTGATGAAATGTCGACTGCGGATGATTGAGGCCAAAAGCTTGGACACACATAGACATATCGCTAGGGTTTTCACAGGCAATCTTAAGAGAATTTCGACCAAAAGGTCTTCAGTAAACATACTTAATTAAGGGAAAAGTTTAGTGTTTTTTTTTTTTTTTTTTTCTGTTTGATAAGAAATTCTCTTATTTCTCATCTATAAATCATGAGTATATCTCATATATATATATGTGTACTATGGGGGAGTAATTTGCTTAGTCATTAAAGCATAAGATTGAATTGACTATATTTTTTTAAACATGTATATTAATTAATTTCGTATCTAAATGGTTAAGTCAATACAATTGATAACTGCGACTTTCTTCTGTATATTACTCCCTCTGTTTTATTTTGTAAGACTAAAAACGCGTGGTTTTAATACTATACTAAACTATTTTCAAAAATTTCTTTTATTTGGAATTGTTGACTTCAAAAATATAAATGGAAATGAATTAGTGGATAATCTTCTAAATTTATTTTATTTTTGAAATTTTGTTTACAACAATACTATATGAAAAAACATAAAAATTAAAACAGTTATTTTATTAAAAAAAAAAGAATCAAACCGGTGAAAATATGGTAATGAATTTGTACCGGTTAGAAAAAATGTGAATGCTAAAAAAATAATAAGTGATGGTAATGTTAATTGTTAAGTGACGAAAATTTTAAATTAATTTAAATATGCATATTATTATGATTTGTAATACTCAATTTTTTTTGTTGAGTTGCACTGCCGTCTTGCTAAAGTAAACGCCATAAAATCTTGAGGAGATACCCATTTTTTATCCTTAGGTTTCTTTGACTGTTTTGTGATGCATGTAAAATTGCTTTATAGAGAACAAATTAATCTCATATTTGTACTCGTTCCTATCCACATACATCGGACGTGTTCATTTGTTAAAGGACTTCAATCTATTCAAGCCAGAGATATAACCATAGTCTTATCAAACAGCAGCTCATCCCAAAATCATCCCAAAGTGGTCGTACAGTCGGTAATTGAGACTAAATAAGGCTATAATCATCATTTTCATTGTCTTTAGCAGCTCTAGTTTTAATAGATATAATCATCATTGTCATTGTCTTTCATGTAAAATAATAGCAATATACTCGCTGGCTTTTCACCAGATTGCTAATGCGGCCGTTGAACATCATATTCAGCCGAATAGACTAATACTGCCTGGCTGATAAAACTTCATAATCTTGTTTTTGTTTTTCAGATAGCCGCGCTTATTGTTGAATGTTAGATTGTTTAACGACTCACTCGATCTTGTTAATTTGGACAAGAGTAAGGAGTTATTTGCGTGTCAAAAGTTTTAGTTTTTGAGAATAATTAAGCTGTCTTGATACTCTCAATCAATCGTCATATGTATGTATAAACATAAATGGTTAGTCCATATGATGCGGACTGGACACTGCGTACCAATATATTAGTATGCAAAACATTAGACTGTAGTATGAAGTAGACAATTGTATGGTTAGTCCATATGATGCGGACTAGACTCTGCATACCAATATTTTAGTATGCAAAATATTAGAATGTAGTATGGAGCAGACAATTGTATGTTGGTATGGAGTTTATGATGGTATGGAGCTTTTGGGGAATGGAATGAAAAAATGCGGACTAGAGTGAACTTATGATGGTATGGAGTTGTATGCTCAAGTGTATACTAGTATGGAGATTTTTAGTCTGCAATAGTGCATACTAGTATGCAATAGTGAATGGTAAATTCAGTGCGTACTAGTCCGATTTTATTCCGGTCTACAGCGTATTAAACAACCATTCAAAGCCAAAGAGTGAGTTCACAAAGAGTAGATTTTATTATATTTATTTTTTGTCAAAACTAAGTGTAGATTATTTTGTTTAAGTTGGGGATTAACAGAGACATACGTTGTTTCAGGTATCAATTAATAATTTCTTAGAAATGAAAAGACAAAATTGATAGAGAGATCTTAAAAGAATCTTATAGACTATAATATCATTACAAAAAGACGTTTTATGAAAATGCATATTTTGTTAATTTTCAAGTAACATCGAGAAGAAAACCTGGGAAACCAAATTGATAAGCCAACAAATGATGAAGCTCACAACAAAAGTTGTCTGATGAAAAGCCACATTTCCAGGTAATTTACATATGAGTTATATAAACTTGAAATCTTCTGCATAGTCTACAAAGGTGTGAACTCTACTACTAAGATTCTTCTCTGACCCTTCAAGCCCTAGGATTCCAACTCTTTGCAAAGTGTTTGTTTCGGGGTTGAAGTAGTAAACAAAGAAGGATTTCGATGTATAATCCATGGACAAAATAATTTCACCAGTAGCAGTCACTCCAACAACGGAAACATAACCCTTAAAGACCGGTAAAGTGTATTCACATTTCAACCATTCTTCTTTCTCAGCATCCTCTAGAACCCACAAACACAACTTAACTACAGCCCAAGGCTTTTTATAAATTTGATTATCCCAATAACAACGAAGCACACCTAATTTACCCTTATAATTGATCAGTTTAGCAAGCAAAGAACATAAGGTTATGTCATGATCCGCATTTAGAAACTTATTTCATACCTTACATTAAAGGAAGCTATCTTCACACCACTGAACTGGTCATGGTGGCGAGCCATGTAATACAAAACCCCATTGATGCATATCCCTTCACTTATAGGATAATGGTCTACGAGACATTGGATCGTCCTCCATGCTACTTTTCCAGTTCGTAATGTCTGAATATTTTGTGAATTAAAATATGAATTGCTTGTTGTGAGTACCTTGTATTGTTTGCCAATAGGATCATACCCTAATAAGCTGCTCAAATTGCTCTTACTTGTCCATTGAGTTAATCTTGCGTACTGTCCCGTGCTAGGGTTACATATCACCGGCACTTTATCTGTCAGCGTATTAGGGAAATAGAGCAAACCAGAGACAAGGCCAAAAATCTCTTGGCACATGTCTCTAGGTAACTGCATATGAAAATCGGTTGATAGTACAAGAGAATGATTCTCATCTGGATTCTTCGGCTGAGGCGACGAGTATAAGCACCACTTATCAGAATTTTGAACGGCGAATAAGAGACGTGGCCGAGTCAAGGGCCTAGTTTGGAACAACTTAGTGAAATCTTGACCTCTAAGTATAGACGAACAGAACTTGTATGCGAGACCAAACCTAGCGATTGACTTATTAGACAATTTCGATAGTATATCGAGAGACGAGAATGATGTCAGTCGGGATTGGATCTGAGTCTCCCTCTCTTTCCATCGAGTTTTTCAAAGATCGTGTCTTTTGGTTCCAGTTCCAGACTTAACGTAGACGACAATGTAGGGTTTCAAAGGCAATCATTCACTTAAACCTAATGGGCCGAACGAATTAATGGGCCATGTTAAATTTTACCCAATAAGAGATCTCGTTTCTCACTGAGCAAAAGTCCAGTGTTCAACCATCTTCTTCCTCATGGCTCTGAATTCTTCAGCTTTCTTCGTTCCATGTCACAATTACAATCAAATTTGTGATCTTCTTCTTTCTTCAGCTAGATCCAGATCCATTGTTAAAGGACTTCAGCTTCATGGCTATATCGTTAAATCAGGCCTTTCTCTTATCCCTCTCGTCGCTAACAATCTCATTAATTTCTACTCCAAATCACAGCTTCCGTTTGATTCTCGTCGAGCTTTTGAAGATAGCCCACAAAAGAGTGCGACGACTTGGAGTTCAATCATCTCTTGTTTTGCTCAGAACGAGCTTCCATGGATGTCACTCGAGTTTCTTAGGAAAATGATGGCGGGAAGCCTTAGACCTGATGATCATGTTCTTCCGTCTGCGACCAAGTCTTGTGGAATTTTGAGTCGTTGTGATATTGGGAAATCGGTTCATTGTCTCTCGATGAAGACTGGGTATGATGCTGATGTGTTCGTTGGGAGTTCTTTGGTTGATATGTATGCGAAATGTGGAGAAATTGTTTATGCGAGGAAGATGTTCGACGAAATGCCTCTGAGAAATGTTGTTACTTGGAGTGGGATGATGTATGGGTATGCTCAAATGGGTGAAAATGAGGAAGCTTTGTGGTTGTTTAAAGAAGCTTTGTTTGAAAATCTCGCTGTTAATGATTACTCGTTTTCGACTGTTATTAGTGTTTGTGCCAATTCGACTCTACTTGAGTTAGGTAGACAGATTCAGGGGTTGTGTATTAAGTCCAGCTTTGACTCTTCTAGCTTTGTGGGTAGTTCGTTAGTCTCATTGTATTCGAAATGTGGTGATCTTGAAGGAGCTTATCAAGTTTTTGATGAGGTGCCTATGAGGAATCTCGGGATTTGGAACGCGATGCTTAAGGCTTGTGCGCAACATTCGCATACTCAAAAGGTTATTGAATTGTTCAAGCGGATGAAACTCTCTGGAATGAAACCAAATTTTATAACTTTTCTGAATGTGCTCAATGCTTGTAGCCACGCGGGTCTAGTAGATGAAGGGAAATACTACTTTGATCTGATGAAAGAATCGAGAATTGAGCCGACGGATAAGCATTACGCTTCCTTGGTGGATATGCTGGGACGAGCTGGTAAACTAGAAGAAGCACTTGAAATAGTCACGAATATGCCAATCGATCCCACGGAATCTGTATGGGGAGCTTTATTAACGAGTTGTACAATCCACAAGAACACAGAACTTGCAGCATTTGCAGCAGACAAGGTCTTCGAATTAGGACCAGTGAGTTCCGGTATGCACATTTCTTTATCTAATGCTTATGCAGCCGATGGTAGATTCGAAGACGCAGCCAAAGCCAGAAAATTGCTTCGAGACCGAGGGGAAAAGAAGGAAACAGGGCTAAGTTGGGTTGAAGAAAGGAACAAAGTTCATACATTTGCAGCTGGAGAAAGACGCCATGAGAGAAGCAAGGAGATATATGAGAAGCTGGCTGAGTTAGGGGAAGAGATGGAGAAAGCGGGTTATGTTGCAGACACGAGCTATGTTCTGAGAGAAGTGGATGGTGATGAGAAGAATCAGACCATAAGGTATCATAGCGAGAGATTAGCTATTGCTTTTGGACTAATCACATTTCCGGCTGATAGACCGATCCGGGTGATGAAGAATCTGCGTGTTTGCGGTGATTGCCATAACGCGATCAAGTTCATGTCCATATGTACGAGACGAGTGATCATTGTGAGAGATAACAATAGATTTCATCGGTTTGAAGATGGCAAGTGTTCTTGTAATGACTATTGGTGATAGACAAACGAGAGTTGGTTTATATTATTTAAAGATAACGGCTACTTCTTCTTCTTGAATCTTGATCATTATTTGTAGGATAAAATTCGAAATAAAATCATTATTTATTTATCATACATTCATATTGCAATAGTTAGTAGTTACATAATCAAGTAATGTATGTTTATATCAGGAACTAATAAATGTGTTCCATTCAAATAACCATGCATTGCACTAATTATACCATTTTTCTTCTTTTTGAAGTTGTGCTAAATTAAATTTGACTTGGTTCACTCAGACTATCTACTAGTATATCATTGAATCTGTAGTTTGTAGTGATGAGAGATAATAGAAGTATGTATGATGATGTTTAATTGAGTTTTATTAATTTCAAACGAATTTTATTTAATTTGATTTTAGTATATTATAAATTAAAGATATTGAACCGGGTTCAGTTCACAGTGAACCGAAGAAATTTCTTAACCAGAGATTGACTCGGATTTGAAAGAAGTGGAGTCTCTCGATACGAGAAGAAGTTTCTGGAATTCGTTGGCCACAAAGCCAAAAACGGTTGATTTCGTCGAAATACGACGTCGTTTCAACGAACAATCCAGAATCCCCTGGTTTTCCTTTATTTCGAAAAGAAGAGACTAGAACTTTATTTCTCCTCTATAAATTCACTTTGTGTTTTCCTCTCTTCTTCATAAATCAAGAAAACAATCACAAATCTCTCGAAACGCTCTCTAAGTTCTAAATCTCTCTCGCATTCTCTTTCGTTTTTCGTTTGCGTTGAATCAAAGATCGTGTTACGATGGCAGAAGTTCAGATGGCTGATGCAGAGACTTTTGCTTTCCAAGCGGAGATTAACCAGCTTCTTAGCTTGATCATCAACACTTTCTACAGCAACAAAGAGATTTTCCTCCGTGAGCTCATCAGTAACTCTTCTGATGTATGTTTCCCTTTAAATCTCTCAGCTCTGTGTTTCTTCCGATTACCTACTTTCGTGCATGTTATTGTACCTGGATCCGTTGATAGTGTTTGGATTCGTAGGTTTAGTTTTGGATACCTGGATTCTTTAGTTTTTCTAATAGATCGTGATTTGGCTTGTGCATCAAGTTAGTTTAGGATTATCGATCCTGCTGTGAATTGATAGACTCGTATCATATATGTTGTAGTTAGATCTGTTGGAAGGTTCTTGCTGGGATTATCCTATTGTGAGGATTGTAGCAGTGGAATTGTGGTTTCCTGGAGGAAGACTTCTGATTATGTTTTGTTAATATGGATGGTTTTGTAGGCTCTTGACAAGATTCGATTTGAGAGCTTGACCGATAAGAGCAAGCTCGATGGACAGCCTGAACTCTTCATTAGGCTGGTTCCAGACAAGGCTAACAAGACGCTCTCGATTATCGACAGTGGTATTGGCATGACCAAAGCAGGTAATGAATCTATGCCTAGTATTTGTTTGATTGGAGTCAAGGTCAGTGTTTGTGCTGTGGTTTGACTCTCTTAATGCATTTTCAGATCTGGTGAACAACTTGGGGACCATTGCGAGGTCTGGAACTAAGGAATTTATGGAAGCTCTTCAAGCTGGAGCTGATGTGAGTATGATAGGTCAATTTGGTGTTGGTTTCTACTCTGCTTATCTTGTTGCAGAGAAGGTTATTGTCACTACAAAGCACAATGATGATGAACAATACGTTTGGGAGTCTCAAGCTGGTGGTTCCTTCACTGTTACTAGGGATGTGGATGGGGAACCACTTGGTAGAGGAACTAAGATCACATTATTCCTCAAGGATGATCAGGTAATGAATCATAGCTTTGAGTGTTTTGGGGATTGTTTCTTTTCTTTTGATGTTTTCTGTCTTCTTATAAGTGAGTTTATTCTTATAGCTTGAATACCTGGAGGAGAGAAGACTCAAAGACTTGGTAAAGAAGCATTCTGAGTTCATCAGTTACCCAATTTACCTGTGGACCGAGAAAACAACTGAGAAGGAGATCAGTGATGATGAGGATGAAGATGAACCAAAGAAAGAAAACGAAGGTGAGGTTGAGGAAGTTGATGAGGAGAAGGAGAAAGACGGTAAAAAGAAGAAGAAAATCAAAGAAGTCTCTCACGAGTGGGAGCTCATCAACAAGCAGAAACCTATTTGGTTGAGGAAGCCAGAAGAGATCACTAAGGAAGAGTATGCTGCTTTCTACAAGAGCTTGACCAATGACTGGGAAGATCACTTAGCCGTGAAACACTTCTCTGTGGAGGGTCAGCTTGAATTCAAGGCCATTCTCTTTGTTCCAAAGAGAGCTCCGTTTGATCTCTTCGACACGAGGAAGAAGCTGAACAACATCAAGTTGTATGTGAGGAGGGTGTTCATTATGGACAACTGTGAAGAACTTATCCCAGAGTACCTCAGCTTTGTGAAAGGTGTTGTTGACTCTGATGACTTGCCACTCAACATCTCCCGTGAGACGCTTCAACAGAACAAGATCCTTAAGGTGATCAGGAAGAATCTAGTGAAGAAGTGTATTGAGATGTTCAACGAGATCGCTGAGAATAAAGAAGACTACACGAAATTCTACGAGGCCTTCTCCAAGAATCTCAAATTGGGTATCCATGAAGACAGTCAGAACAGGTCAAAGATTGCTGATCTTCTACGGTACCACTCCACAAAGAGCGGTGATGAAATGACGAGCTTGAAAGATTACGTCACAAGGATGAAGGAAGGTCAGAAGGACATTTTCTACATAACTGGTGAAAGCAAAAAGGCTGTTGAGAATTCTCCCTTCTTGGAGAAGCTGAAGAAGAGAGGCTACGAGGTACTTTACATGGTGGATGCAATTGACGAATACGCTGTTGGACAATTGAAGGAGTATGATGGTAAGAAACTTGTCTCTGCAACCAAAGAAGGACTGAAACTTGAAGATGAGACGGAAGAAGAGAAGAAGAAAAGGGAAGAGAAGAAGAAATCCTTTGAGAACCTCTGTAAGACGATTAAGGAAATCCTTGGGGATAAGGTTGAGAAGGTTGTTGTCTCTGACAGAATCGTGGACTCTCCCTGCTGTCTAGTAACTGGTGAATATGGATGGACTGCGAACATGGAAAGGATCATGAAAGCACAGGCCCTGAGAGATAGCAGCATGAGTGGCTACATGTCAAGCAAGAAAACGATGGAGATCAACCCCGACAATGGTATCATGGAAGAGCTCAGAAAGAGAGCTGAAGCAGACAAGAATGACAAGTCTGTTAAAGATCTTGTCATGTTGCTGTTCGAGACGGCTTTGTTGACTTCTGGATTCAGTCTTGATGAACCGAACACGTTTGCTGCTAGGATTCACAGGATGTTGAAGTTGGGTCTGAGCATTGATGAGGATGAGAATGTTGAGGAAGATGGTGCTATGCCTGAGTTGGAGGAGGACGCTGCTGAAGAGAGCAAGATGGAGGAAGTCGACTAAGAGATGAAGAAGTTTATCTTTATGGTTCTGAAAACTTCTAATATGTCGAGTTATTCGGAGTTTTTAAGGTTTTTCAGAATGTCTTGTCTTTTGTGTGTTAAGAGTCACTTGAACATTTTAGGGTTGGGTTTAAGGTTTGTTATTTCGTGTGCGTCTGTCTAATACTTCTACCAGTTTTTGTTAATGAATCGGCTAAGGAACATTCCTTGTTTCTGAACAAATGCAAATGTTCTCTGGTATTCTAAAGTAAGACTTGACTTCCTAAACATCACTGTAAGAGATAAATGTGAGAAATTGATACGATGAAAAGGGAAGCTTGGGACAAGTAACCTCAAATCTTGGCAAAATGATCGCTTTTAACACCAATAGTTAAAATCAATGAAACTTAATCATAAATTTAACGAAACGGATCGAAAAGTTAATATTTTCACAAAATCAACTTGTAATCGTTTAAAGCTGGTTTGATTTGTCCAATGAGGTAATCATTTTTTTTTGCAAGCTCAAATAGGAGAGAAAAGATGGGAGGAAAACATAACTTAAAATTGGATGTTTGCTTCAACAACAAAACTAAACTCAGATAGATTATGAAAGATCCCGGAATTTGAAGTGTAAGTAAAACTTAAAGCTGAAACAACTCCTCCATGTCCATGGTCTTACTGTCAACTAAAGACATTTCCTTTCAAGGCAAACCTGAACCAGATGGTGCAGCCGCGCTGTAACCACCAGCACCACGGCCAAAACCACGGCCACTTCCCTGTTAAACAAGATACAAAACACGATGGAAAGTTAGAACAACGGCAACCAAACAAAGAGAGGGCAGGTAAATATAATCATAAGTAATATATAACTAAAGACTTTGAAACAAATTCACTGCTTAAGTAAAAGATATATGTTCCTTGTAACTAAAATGATAAAGAGAGACTAAAGGTTAATGGTTGATCAGGTTCAGGAGCTCTATGCTAAAGACTACAAGCGTAGCACATTTTATGAAGTTTGTGAGACAGAAGTAAATAAAAGGCATGGTCAGTGAGAATTTACTTGGAAAGATGGCTGGTAATCTGCTGGAGCTCCACCCTTTTCACCCCCAAACTCACCACCACCACGAGGACCTCCACGGTACGCATCACGGTCAGCATACCTGGGACGGTCTCCTCCTTCATGACGAGGTCCCCTGAAGTACCAAGAAACCCCAAACCATCTCATCAAATAAAATAAACAAAGTTTTTGCCAGACATGAAATGAGTTAAGCAAAGAGTTAATCACCTTGAGCGATCACCAGGTGGACCACCAAATGAACGACCAGCAGGCTTAGCTGACTTCTTCAAAGTAGCAGGAACAACATCAGATGGAAGATTAAGATAAGTTCTCAAGAACTCAATTCCTTCATTGGTCAAAAACCAATAGTAATGCATCCACGCAAATGTCTCCCTAACATACTCCTTGGATTTGAAACTCTGCATCAGCTTAATCACTTGCAGGTTCGGGACATCGATCAACGGATGCTTAGCAAGATTGAAATCTTTCTTAGCAAAGCAAACTCCTTCTGCAAAACCCAGAGATAAAATGATAATCAACACAATGCTCATCTTCTAAGGCAAACATCATAATTGCTACCATAACTAGTTAACCTAAACTAGTTCCAAAACCACAATGTTCATCGGCATCACCCTAAAAAATGAATCGATTCGCTCACAGAAGCTGAAGAAAACAGAGATCTAAGAAAAGTTTAACGTAGAACGAACCTTTGAAAAGGTACTTGCAGATTTCTTTGCGGTTAGCCTCTGAGATAATCTGAGAGAAAGAAGGAAGAAGAAAATGGTTAAAATTCAACGGAACAACATTCTAACACACCGGAGAATATGATGGGGATAGATAAATAGATCAAAGAGCAGAGCTTGTGTGTACCATTGTATCGGTAGGAGATCTTGCTCGTGCAGAGACGGAACTTCGAGAGAGCAAAAACTAGGGTTTTCACAGGATCAGAGAAGACGATGATTTTATATGCTTTGTTTTGGGCCTATAATGGGCCTTCATTTTGGGCAGTATCATAAGAGGGAGGAGACTGAGAAATAAACTCAAAATGAAAAAAACTTATTCTGTGTCTTGCAAATTGAATTAAGAGACACATTATTTAGTTGTGATATTTTTATCAGGTTAATTAATATTATTATCAAAATTTATTTGATGATAATTATATTTTAATATTTATTACTCAGTACTTACAATCCTTCCATGCGTCGTGTATTTATATGTGGTTTATATACTTTTGATATTTTTATCAGATCAATTAATAATTTTTCTGCAAATGTGTTTACTATAAAATAAATTACTACATTAGATTTTTTTTTTTACATAATCATCTTGTTAAAATAATTTCCAGTTTATTAATTTCTTTGCTCTATATTAAAACAAAAAATCTTTTGAGAGATAAATGTATTTTTGTGTTGTTAAAAAAAAAAATGATAAATGTATTTTTGTGTCAAAGATATGTTATGAGAAATTGTGACAAATATCAGAACAGATTGTGAAATTAAGAGATAAATGTACTTTAATAGATTATTTCCAAAAAAAAATCCATTTTTTTCAGTAATATATATAGAGGTTGATGAGGAAGCCAGTTTGTAATCAGAGTCTAGTCCATCATCTTCTTCTCTTCCCCTTCCAAACTTTTGAGTTTTTCAAAAAATGGTTCGTTATGTTTCCTATTGAACCTGTTGTTATTTTTCTTAGTAAACCTATGAACAAAATCTTTTACTTTTTATGTGATTATATCATAAATTCACTAAAGCTCTAGTTTTATTTCATTGTTTGCAGTCGATGACAATTGTATTCAAGTATGCAGAATGTCCCGAAAAACAATGGCGTAAAGGATTCAAACTTGCGGCTTGTTTTCCAGGTACACCTACACACACCTAACGATTATATTCAACCAAATTAAACCATTTGTTGTATATAAATCGATTATTATAAATGCGATTAATATTACTTAGACTTACGAATTTTGAATAGTGTGAATGATTGTCATCTTTTTATTGTTAGGAGTTGATGCTCCATGTTGTGGTATCATGCCAAACGTATTTGCTGTAAGGGGAGAAAATATTGATCAAGACAAATTACTGCAGAAATTGAAGAAGATCTTGAAATCTGTTGAAATTCTTGATCACTCAGAATACCCTCCACATTATTTTTTTTATCATATCTAATAATGATGTTTATTTTTTTCTTTCTTGTTGGGCAAATAATGATGTTTAATTATGTTTTTATATTCTAAAAAAATAATTGGACTTTGGTGTAAGTCTTAAGATATGTAATTATATATGGTCAAATTAAATTATATATTAGTCCATTAAAAGCCTTTTGTTCAAAAAGAATGATTTTCCATGGATGCATATCCATATTGGTCTACAAATTCACCTTATTTCTTCCTCTATTAACGAATGAAAACAAAAGCAAAGACAACTCAATTAAGAGATTTGTCTCCCATCAAAGAGACTGATACATGCTGATGCTTTAACAAAAGCTAAAAACAAATTTGAGAGAAGGAATGGTATTTAACTTATGATAGTAATACACTGTACATGTACCATCCTTAACCCAAAAGACGTATATTTATACCATTAACAATAATATCTAAACCCTCTCGATCTCAGCTTCATCTTCTTCATATGTACAAACTACAAACAAAAACTCACAACAGAATCTCTATTCAATAGCCATCTGGTTGTTGGCTCATCTGAGACACTTTTCACAATTCTCCTCTTCTATTAAACTTCATGTAGAGATTTCAGGTGGGTCTTTGTTTAAGGTTTATTCACTCCATCACGATCAGTTGCTGTCTCAGATCCGATATCATAAGACGAAAGAAGCCGTCTCTGTTGTTTTTGAAATCAATAAGTGTCTTGAGGTTAGTTATGATACAGGGTTTCAAGTTAAGATTGACTAGGAGTTTGTGGAGTAAAATACTTGCATGATCCTCAAAGTCAGGACTAGACAAGTTGATGGATAGATTTCTCATCAATAGTAACACCTGTTTGGTGGAGGCAAACAAAGGAAAAAATAATTAGTTTTAACCATTTGTTCCGTTGGACCGACGTGGTTTCAATTAAGATTGATGTAAAACTGAAGAGACACGAAACGTACTGTTTCAACATCTATGGGGTCCATCTTCTTTAGCTTTTGTAGATGATTACTTGCATATGGGTCAAAAACACTTCCAATGAAGCCGTATACTTGGGCAAAGTCCGGTAAAACTGAAAAAAAAGGAGGAACTGTCTAGTAAAAAATGGTAAATATGTTACAAACAAAAAGATAAATAGAAGACGATGTAACGATGCTTACCTCGTAATGAATGGCCAACATTTCCCTGGTCACTTGCGTCCCTGTTGGATTGTGGTCTTGGCGTATTTTCAGAACTACTAGAACAATTGTTATTAGCTCCTGCTCCTGCTGTTTCCATCAGAAAGTGGAACAACAATATTTTTCATTAAGTAAAATTTGAATAGGAGAATATATTAAGAGAGTAATAGTAATTGCATAATGCTTGTAAATTAGAATAGAACCTTTTGGGAGGGGTGTGAAGCTAATTGTTTGCGCATTATTTGTCCATGGATCGGCAACAGTGGTTGGAGAAGTCATCAGCATTGAAGAAGACTCGGGCCTAAACATAAAACTTGGGTCATTTGGTTCAGATGTTGACTTGAATGATCCTGGTACTTGAGGTTGCACTGTACATTGCCATAGAAATGCATCAATATAGTTTTTCAGTAAGTAAACAACAATACAACTTCAAATAATTTTTTTGCAGTAGTTATAACGTACCATTCTTGTGAGCCTTCTGAGGATATGGATGAGCAGCTTTCCTTTTAGGTCGAGGGGGAGGGAGATGTTCACCCGTCCCACTCTTTTGTACCTTAAGAAAATACTTCTGAGCATGACTTCGTATCTGCGGTACCAAAGGAGTACATATAAGAAGGCATAATAGAGCTCAACAAGCTCACTTATCTAATGCAAAATATATCTACAGATGACACTTCATTTCATCCCATGGTGATCCGCGATAAAAGCATTTGACACTCTTGCTCCTAATAGCTCAAAACAGGTTCAGACAATAAAGTTGTTATAAGAAGGCATAATAGAGCTCAACAAGCTCACTTGTCTAATGCAAAAATATCTACAAGTAACACTTCATAAACTCTTATGGTGATCAGTGACAAAAGCATGTGACGCTCTTGCTCCTAATATCATTTTCAGACAATAAAGTTGTTTTAAAAGAAAACTTTGTGGAGATATCAAATGAGAAGAAACAACCTCAATCCAAAGTAACACTGAGGGCCCAAAAGAAAAATGACAGAATTAAACAACTAGAGTAGGCGAAAAACAAAGTAACTCAGAAGACATTTCTTCTTTTTACTGTACCTGAATCACTGTCTTTGACCCAATAAAAGCTTCAATCTTCTTCCAGTCTCTATCAAACCTAAAATGATAAAACACAAGCACAAGAGATATCAGATCAACCACCAGAAACCTGAATATAGGAGATATCTAATCCTAACCTAAGATTGTACGCATTACAATACACAACGGAATTAACAATGAACAGTACAATCATAGCCTCTACTAGAACTACTCCAAGACCTTTCCCACTATATATCAACCTTAGTACTTCAATTACTCCCTTACCATTGTTCATAGACTGTTACAAGAAAGCAAAAAAAGCATCTCATTGAACACAATTTCAAGACATTCACACTCATTTTTCGACATCTTGGTCTTCTCAATGCTTATCAGACGCCTAATTCAATAAAATGAGAAAACATAGACAAATCCATCTGCCCTAATCCAACTCTCAATTCCAATTCTATCTCCAAAGAGCAATCTAATTCCAATGGTTCAACACAGCACAATTCAGAATCTATCGAAACATAATTTGCACATTATCCAAATTAAACCCTAATTAACCAAAATTGAAGCTAATTCTCCCCAAATCGAATCTCAAAATAGCTAAAATCCCAAAGAGAATAAATAGCCATTAGCGAGAAATGTCAAAGCTCAAAATGATTTAAAACTCACAATTGAAGAGCTTCAAGGAATTTATCATGCTCAGGCTCAGTCCAGCTCTCTCTAGACTTAGTAATAGTATAAGGCTTTCTAATCTTCTTACTTAAATCCTCCTCTGAAGAAGAAACCATCGCCGTCGCATCCGTCACAGTCACGGCGGTAGAAGAAGTCGTCGGTGAAGAAGAAACGGCGGCGGTAAAGGAAGGTCCAAGACCTGGAACATTCATACCCGTCGGATCCAAAAAATATCCGTCGGAAAGATTCGGATTTCTAGACACCATAAGGAGAATTTTGAGGAATTTTGGTTTATTTGCTCTGTTGGTTTAAAAAGCTGTGTAGAAGAGAAAGGAGAGGAAAATGTGGCTTATGAGAAAGAAGACGGCAGAGATTTATTATATATATAAATTTATTTATAAGCTATAGTTTTTAATTTTATGTGTGTATTTTGTGTTACTCGATGAAAGAAACGATTCTTGTGATCGTTTTTGAGGTCGGCAAAATAGCCTTGTCACCTAATATAACGTGCCACGTATTTGGAACTTTTTAATATAAATTTCCATTTGTGTTTTGTATCCGTTTATACCCAAAAACGGTTTTTTTTTTTTTTGAATTTCGGATTGTTTTATCTTTGGGTTAGGTAAAGTTTTTTCTAATTGTCCAAATTTTATGGATTGTGGATCCTTTAAAGTTTGAACTGATGGGCAAATGGGTATTATTTAGCCCATTATGAAACATCAATATGTCCAATCTATTTTCGTTTAGTAGTTTTTGTAATATGAATCTCAAATCTGGGTTTTTTGGCTAGTGGGCCAAATCGGAAAAAGCGAGAGGAAGCCCAATAACTAGTAATGCCGGGAAGCAGTTACAAAGTGGTTTTTGTCTTTAATGTTAGCGCGTTTCTCTTTCCAAGTGGTGGCGTGATTTATTTTGGTTTGGGATTTGTCGATGAGAATTCAAGATGGTTTAGTTAGGTTTAGAGCATCTCCATTGGGATTGGGAGTGTATGAGCCAATAAAACAGAATAAAAAATTTAAAAATGAGGAGAGAGGACAGACACTGTTTCTCATTTGAGAAACTCTGAGACATCCATTTTTATAGTTGTCTTCTTCTGATTGGTTTAAATAAACAATTAAATAATAAAAAATTAATATTATTTTATTTGTTAGACACTCAATAGAGTGTCTGACTGATGGAAATGCTCTTATATATACTAGGTAAAAACCAGCTCGCCCTTATGGGGCATTTCACTCGACACTCGTTCAAAACATTCGATTATCATCATTACCAATATAATCACCATATTAAATAGACGTACAGCATCGAAATTCTAATTAGATGAGTTTAGAACGTTGTGACTCCTCATACTTTCACAATTTTTCTTATTAATGAATATGTTAATGTTTATTAATAATCTGAAGCTGAAACTTACGTATTAACAACATCTATATTTTATTAATACAAAAGACATTTGTAAACATGGTAGCAGCCGTAGATACCATAATTTGATAGATTTATTGTACGTGTACGTATGTCCCACGACGTAAAAAACTAGATGAACACAAGTTTTTCCAAAATTAATTTTTGCAAATAGAGTTTGCTTCAATCGATTCATAGAACACCCACATCTTCTATAATCTATACATTTTTTTGTTTAATTTGTTGGCAATCCTTTCAAGTTTTGAGTTTATTCACCTCCTTTCAAGTTTCTATTGAACCATTCTAATTGTTTATCATGCATATATAACAATTAACAACACGACGATTAAATCATGAATTATATACTAAATAGATATTTGATTCCTATCTTTGACAAGGTTGAGTAGTTCTTTATTATACGATCAGAAGGTTGATTTAATCGCTCTTGTCATCTTATATAGACGAGATAATAAAAGACAAAAAGATCTCACGTATATGCATAATTATAACATGGTATCAGTTGGAGCTACTAATTAAAGTACTAAACTAAAGAGGCGTAACCACACATTCTAACAATCTATTATATTGGAAGACTCAAAACTGTTTTTATTCATCTTGATTTAAGCGTACCTATTTTAGTTTCTACCTTCGATGGCTTGACTTAATCATTTCATATTCGCAAATTCAAGACAAAAGATATGTGTGTATATATATGGGGGGAAACAAAGGTTTATGAGAAAACTACGAGTTTGAATTCGTATTCATTTACATATCATTCCTCTCCAATCATCAAGCTTTCTATATTTTTCGAAAATGCCGGTACGTCTTTTCTTTTAGTTACTTTATATTTTCAGAAAACAAAAGTTACTACTTATACACAAACAAACTGTCTAAAGCTTCAAACTCAAATCTTTGCAGGAGAAAGTGGTATTCAAGCTGGAAGTTTTTGAGGAAAGAATCAAACGGAGAGCTATGAAAGTTGTATGTGACTTTCCAGGTATAATAATATGTACAAATCAATGTTTATATATAAGTAATTTAATCTATTTAGGCTTTGATACAAATATTTAAGCAATAATGTTTGTTGTTGTTAGGAGTTACTTTGATAGACGTGAAGGAAAAAGGTAAACTAAAGGTGAATGGAGAATTTGATAAGTTTGAAATGACGAAGAAACTTAAGAAGGTATATGAATTTGTTGACATTATCGCGGTTGGACCGGATGGAGAACCAGCGAAAAATCAGAAGCTGGTTAAAAAGCCTGAACCAAAAGTGAAGAAAGCACCATCTTACCGTGGTTGGAATTTGGGTTTCTTTAAGTAATCGATTTGAAGTCGTCGTGATCGGTTTGGTTTCCATGGACCATTGTATTCTAGTAATATTTTATCTCATTTTTCTGAAAAATTGTTTGTCCGTTATATGTAATAACTATGTGGTGCATATATTCATATTGGCATTCTACTATATTTTGTTAACCTTAAGTTTTGATCATCCAATTGACAACAACATAAACAAATCTGTCTTCTGAATTTTCTATGTTAAGTAAAAGAGTCACATTTGATCGCTTTTCATAAGCAACACTTAATTCTTATCACTAGCAACTAGATAGATGCTCAAATTAATCCTGGCCAAAGTGTCAGAAAATTTAGTCAACGTTTGATAGATTATTGTTATCATTCAACTTCGTTCCAAGATAACCACACTTATTCCTTCTAATTCGTTTATAGTATATCGTCAATAATCTAACCAATTGAACTCATCATTTAGCCGTCATATTATTATATCACAAGTGTTTCTTCTTCTTAATAGACTTTATTTTTTGCGACATACAATAAAATTCATTAAGCCCTGTATTTCTGTCGGTTTTCTTAAATAATAAATACAAATATAATTTAGAAGATTCGTTAGAGCTACTAACTTTGTCAGTGCCGGCCCGGTAAATTTGGGTGCCCTAAACAAAATTAAAGCCATAAAAAAAATTCTTTTAAATTAGATTTTTACCATTAAAAAGAGTGTTGTAGTTGTCTCTAAAAGCCAACAATATTTTTAAAAGGCCCTACAAAAATTATTGTATATAAGAAAACTTAACAAATTTTTAGGTAAAAAGGCCTTCAAATTTTGAGGCCCTAATCGGTGGCTTCGGTGGCTTGCCCTCTGCGCCGGCCCTGAACTTTGTGTTACATTAGGATCATCATAACTTATATTTTCATGATATTCATCACCGTTAATTGTTAGTAAATTCATGAAAATCCATAGAGAATAATTGTGAGTTTGTGATTCACCAAAGCATGTATTTCTAGATCTTCATCAACAACTAGTATTAGTAATAGAGTTGAAACTGTTGCATTGGCGAATAACTAAATAATCAAAAGGATGAAATTGTGTAGTTAAAAATTATTTGTTAATCAATACATGTGGTACAAATAAATTCACAAAAATTTAGAGAAAATATTTTATCCAAAAAGAATGAATGTTTTTTTTCTTCTTCTAAATATTTTATCTTTGTTTAGAGTTAGTAAATGAAAGAGTCCATGTCTGAAGACCATTATTGTCTGCTGGGTGGACCGAATACACATATGGAATTGATGTTCTTCGAAGAAACTTTGAGGTTCTTTCGTATGTTCTTTACGTCTTCAGTTTAATAGTTTCTTAATTGTATTATAGAGTTAACGAAAAAACAATATCGTATATTTTACTATAACACGGTATTAGTTGAAGCCACTAAAGTAAGAGACCATGCCACCTTCCATTCTATTATTTAGAAAAACTTTTTTTGATAATATTCATTTAGAAAGACTTAACTTGATTCAACTTGTTTTCATTCTACCTTTCTTATTATACAAAAAGACTCAAAACTGTTTGTATTGGTCTCAATGTTAAAAAAATGACTATTTTGTTTTATAATTTCCTATGGCTGGACCTAATTAATCATTACTATATTCACTAGTTACAAACAAAACATTGTATATATAAACGGGGAAACAAAGAGTTAATCTGCTAAGTTACAACCATATTCCTTCACTCTCCAATCTTTTTAAGAATCCAAAAATGCCGGTTTACCTTATTTTCCTTTTCTTTTTTTCTTCAGTTTCTTAGATTAGTTTTAAGCAATTGAATTTCAATGGTTTAATATCATCTACGGTAGGATTTTTAATATAGTTATGGCTTATACAATGAACTGCTAATTTGCAGGAGGAGACAGTTGATTTCAAGATGGATGTTTCTGATGAAAACATCAAACGGGAAGCTATGAAAATTGTCTGGATGTTTTCAGGTATATGGTTGTATTAGTGAAACCAAATAAATCAATAAGTAATATCATCTATTGAAGCTTAGAAAAATGAAGCAATAATATTTGTTGTTATTAGGAGTTACTTTCGTAGACATCAAGGAAAAAGGTATACTAAAGGTCAGGGGAAAATTTGATAAGATTGAAATTGGGAGGAAACTACATGAGCTAGATAAATCTGTTGACATAATCAACCCATTGGGAAAACCGGGGCAATATCGCATTCCGAGTTTAACTACAGTCTACAGTTATTTTACCCCAAAAATACAGGTTCGTTTTTTCAAATTTTCAGATTATTTTTAAGCAATTAAACATTTAATGGTTCATATCTGGATTTAATAAAATTGTTACTTGTACCATGAACTGCAATTTTGCAGGAGGTAGTTGTATTCAAGTTTAAAGTTCTTGATGAAAAACTGAAACGTGATGCTATGAAAGTTATCTGGGAGTTTTCAGGTACACAAACGACAAACCTATGGTTATATTATTAAACCAAATGAATGAATTATGGCTGGTTTGACCAAAAAAAAAAAAAGAATTATGGCTGGTTATTCTGTTTACGAAATTTTAATCTATTTAGTCTTTAAAACAAAGCGTTACTGTTTTTTGGTTATTAGGAATTACTTCGGTTGAGGTGAAGAGAGTTGATCGACTAGAAGTGAAGGGAGGAGAATTTAACAAAATCGCAATGTCGACGAAGCTAAAGGGCATAGATGAATCTGTTAGCGTTTTTATCAAGGCTGGACCAGATGGACAAGTTGATGTGACAAACTTTAACACCAACTCTCTGCGAACAACTTTACGTGTTCCTGCCCCTGTACCTATTCGTGTGCCTGCCCCTGCGCCTCCGCCTGCTCCTGCTCCTGAGCCTGTGTCTGCTTATGCGCACAAGCGTCTTCATGTGCCTGTTAAAACTTCAATTTGGACAAGGTGCTTTCGACCAATTTCCCGGCGACTTTGTCCATGAAATCAGTCTTCGGAATGACGGGATATTGGAGTCATTGAATTCCTTGTAATGAACATTATAGCTTATTTACATGTCAAAATCAAAGTCAAATTCAATGAGATATGCATGTAAAAAATGGCTAGATTGAGAAGCTAATAAAACTTTCAAAAATTGACTAATTGTCAAAATCAAATTAAAAAAAAAAAAAAACAAAAACAAAAACAATCCACTAGTATATATAGTGAATAACTTACAACAAGATTCACTACAAAGTTCACGAGAAGGTTTCCAGCAGTGTGTTTATCCCGCTGCACTATGCCGCTACATCTGCTGGCCTTTAAGAGAAGTTTCTAGATAAACTTGTGTTACACGTCAGGTTGATATGTTTCCATTAAACTGGCCATAACTCTTAAACAACAGCTCAAATTTGCACGAAATCGCCACCATTAGAAATCTAACTCAATTTTATATAACACCAAAGACACACAAAGACATTATAGGACTTCTACAATGCAAGAAGACTAATTAGGCATTTAATGCAAAAGAAAAACTCATGTTTAACCAACAACCGAACCTTTAGGTTTAATACATACATAGACGATTATCCAAAATTATACATATTTGTTATGTAATAAAGATTGAAGTATTTTGGAGAAGTCAAAGAATATAAAAAATTGAAGATGGAATGTCATTTTAACTGAACCCTTGAGCACAAAACAAGCGTTGGAGAAGGCCGAGAAAACGCAATCCTGATAACAAAGAGAAACCACTCTATTATGGATCAATTTTTCGATGATGCGAATAAGGTGAGATTTTTGGCTGGTTCATGCGGTTTGTGCCGTCTCTCATTACGTTTTCTCCAAAAAATAAGATATTGTTACCTGAAAAGCCATGTTATAGAACATCCTAATTTATCTTCTATACTGTATTATATGCCGTTTTAATTTTCTTCGGAATCAATTTCCACCTCCCTTAAATTCTTTCTTCAACTAATCCACACTATACAAAACATATCTATGCTTTAATGTTTTTTTTATTTTTTTGAAATTTAATTGTGACAAATTGGGTATTTCATTTCCTAGCTTCTAAGAAATTGTGATGTTCTTTCTTATATCCTATAGACCTATACGTCTTGAGTTTAATTTTTCTTATATTATAGAGATAACGACAAATAATATTGTATAACACAACACGCTGTTTTGATTCTACTAAGAGCATCTCCAATGGGGGAGTTCTCTCTATGAGCTCTCTCAAATTTTTTATTATAAATTTTAAGAAAATGTTTGATGAGAACTTTTGTTTTTTTTTTTTAATTTTTCTGTGTCCAATGGTAGGTTCTCTAGTGGGGTTCTCTTAGAGCACCCTTATCCATGGACTCTTAGATGAATCTTAGCCAAATCTTAAGCTAAGATTTGTGAAGAAAGAGCTCTTATATAAGAGCTTTTAGGTTTATATTTAAGCTTTTTCTTCACAAATCTTACCTTAAGATTTGGCTAAGAGCCCATGGATAATGGTGGTCTTAGAAAAAAAAATTTATAAAATTTTTTGTTTTATAAAACAATAATTATTGCAATTCATAAAAATATTAAACATACATTATTTTCAAACATTTAAAAAAATATTTGCAAAAACAAAACCGGAATAACGATTAGTTGTACTCTTGATTGTTGCGAAATTTTTGTCATATATGCTCAACCAAATCAGCTTTCAATTATTGATGCATATCATGATCACGAATGCGATTTCAAATGCCCATCATATTCCCGATTTTTGACAATTTTTTTTTTTCAAACCATATAAACTATTTTCACTTATTTTATGTGTTATGCCATTGTTTAATGTCCCTTGTTTTTGCTGGGACATGGCTTTTAAATTGCTATGAACGTTTCTTCTAAAGCGTGGGGCACTTCACAAGCATTTTTAATGTTCTTGTTAACTCACATACCCTCAAGAAGATAAACGAGTGTAGGTATTAAGTAACAACGCTAAATGCTAAACAATTTCGCTACATCTACCAAGGCCAACACGGAAACAGAGTCGAGCCACATTTCAGACTTATTAAACAAAACAAGCACAGATCATGTAAAAACCAACGATGATAAAGAGACAAGTAGGATATAATTCCAGTAGAGAAGAAGTTCGATTTGTCATTAAAAAGAACAGAGGAGATAAGAATGGAAACATAGTTCATCAATTATTTCTCATGAGCTTTACAAGGCCCCAAAAACACAAACCACCAAAGTTTTAAAACAAACGAGACATGAACTTCTTAAACCATAAGAGAGACGAGATTTAGAAACCACCACAGAGACGGAGGACCAAGTGAAGAGTAGACATTTTATTAGCCTGAGTGGAAACATTCTTATACCAACCAGTCTCTTCACAACACTGAGATTAGCTTGCAAACTGTATAGACATTTTATTTCAGTACTGTAAGATTAAATGTTTAGGACTAAAGAAATCCAAATTCACAAAAGAATCTCGCTTCAAAACTGGCTAACTTGGATAATATTGTTCTTCATCACCACAAAAACCTCATTTCAAACTACAAAGCCTAAACCACACAAAAAAGCAGGGAGTAGAGATAAGAGAGAGCACCGTCGGACAGCAATCGAGCACTGCTCCGCCATGTAAGAACTCCCCTTTCAACGAATTGGTGCTCACATCATACAATCTCACACGCTTAATTGCAGCAAACACACAACAACAGAACAACAAAAAAAAGCTTTAGAAGAAGAAGAGACTTCAATTAAATCAGTAAAAACCAAAGAAAGGGACCTTATCCCATGAAGAAACGAGGAGTTACTGTTATGGAAAATCGGAGATTGGAAAAGCCGTCGGACGGCGGATTCGAGAGCTCACGACCGGCAGACGGAGTTGAAGTCATTTTTCCCGTTGAAGATCACAAATTCTAGGGTTCCGGATGAAATACCTCTCACCCACCATAATTTCACCTTTAATTTCACTCTCCATCATAGGATTCATCGGAAAACAATGCATCACCCTGTGATTTATCGGATTCCGCCATCGCACAAATCGCCCGAGAGAGATAGAAAGTAGGGCAAAAAAAATCGATGAAAACAAAGTACAAAAGGCGTTTTTTTCTTCCTTTTATTAAAATGCAACAGCCAATGAACGACCGCCACGTACCCGTCTCTCTTGTGTTCCCAAATCTCTCCAGAGAGAACCACCTCTCTTCTTAATTTGCCTTTTTGATTTATTTTTATTCCAATAAACCAAGAGAACCTCACAAAAATTTGCTTACAACCTCCCATTGGAGGTGCTCTAAAGTAAGAGACCAGGCCACCTTATTATTTAGAAAGACTAAACTAGAAAGACTTAAATTGTTTGTACTGGGCTTGTTGTACAAAGTTGACTATTTTCTGTTATAGTTACGTTCAAGTGGCTGGACCTAATCACTGCTATATTCACTAGTTACAAACAAAATATCGTATAAATATACAGGGAAGGCTGGGAAGCCAAAGGTTTATTGTCGTGCAGGCTGAGAGGTTGCAATCACCTTCACTTTCCAATCTTAAAAACATTCCCAAAATGCAGGTTCGTTTTTTCAATTTTTATAAAAGTTTTAAGCAATTAAAATTTCAATGGTTTTATATTATCTATGGTAGGAATTCTGTAAAATATTTATATGTATATAATTTAATATAGTTATTGATTATACCAATAAACTGCTAATTTGCAGGAGGAGACAGTTGAATTCAAGATGGATGTTTCTGATGAAAAGATAAAACGGGAAGCTATGAAATGCAGGTTCGTCTAGTATCTACAGTAGGAATTATAGATTATAGAGTTAATAAAATTATTACTTATACCATGATTTATTATTTTGCAGGAGATAATTGTATTCAAGTTTAAAGTTCTTAATGACCGCATCATACGGGATGCTATGGAAGTTATATGGGAGTTTCCAGGTACACCAACACAAATCCATGGTTCTATTAAACCAAATAAAAATCAATGATAGATTGATAGTAAGATGATTTTAATATGTTTAGGCTAGAAGAAGTAAGGCATTAATGTATGTTTGCTATTAGGAGTTACTTCGGTAGAGGTCAAGGGAGATGCCGATCAACTAGAGGTGAATGGAGGAGAATTTAGTAAAATTGTAATGGCCGCGAAACTCAAGGACATAGATGAATCTGTTAGCTTTATCATCAAGGCTGGACCAGATGTAGAGGCACCCAATAATGCAACCTCATATGGTACAAATTCTAAGATCAAGGATGCTCTATCAGCTTTCCGTGCGCCTAAGCCTGCGCCTCCGCATACGCCTGAGCCTACGTATGCGCGTGGGCGTGGAAAAAGTTTTAACCATGATCGATTAATTATACCACAGCAGCCAATCCTCAACGATGTTGCTGCGGGTGTACGTAACTTTATGTATAAACCAGACCCGAATCAGCGTGCTGAGATCAATTGGGGGAAAAAACCACAACCTGAAGTCAAGCATCAGGAGCAAGGAGGAGGATTATTTGGATACTTTGGTAAGAAGCAACAACCTCAAAAGGAAAAACCCGTCCGTGAAATCCCAAAACCACAGTCTACCGCAAGTACATCAAAAAAAGGTACAAAAACAGAACTGAGGTGTACTTTCAGTCTGGTTGATTAGATTTCTTTTAATAGGATGAACTTGAGGTATGATTGGTTTGAGCTCCATTGACTATATATCATGTCTTGACTAAAATGCCATCTCATCTTCTAAATAAAGTTTGTCTCGGTGGTTATCACATATTTGCATATTATATATTATATTGTTTTTTTAACCTTAATTATTTGTGTTAAACCATCTCATGCAGAAGAAGAAACCCAAAGTTTAACCTCATCACTAATTACGGGGTTAGGCACTATGAATCCCTTTCAATCCAAAACACAAAACAGTCAGATGATGTCCTCACAATCGAGTGGATCCACAAGAATCCAATATGCAACACGAAAGGGAACTTAATCTACAATGCAAGGAAGGACAGATGATTCTATTAATTATCTAATAGATTCTCTGCTGACTGCTCAGCTCGTCCAACTTCTCAGTTAACAGTTCAGCTCGTCCAGCTTTTCAGTTGATTGCTCAGCTCGTCCAACTTCTCAGTTAACAGCTCAGCTCGTCCAAATCGTCCCCAAGCTATCCAGCACGTCGACAGATCGCCTAGCTGCAAATATGGTCTAGCTCCCACTTATTGTAATATGAACTACGAATGGCTTGATCCCTTTCTAAGGATACGTAGGCAGTCTTTCACAAGGCGCAGCTATAAAACAAATAAACTCTATGTTTATCACGAGAACGGCCTAACTCTTGACCTTCAACGCAATGAGAATGTTTTTCCCTTATCAAAGAACTTACAAATATACTTAATTGAAATTCGTGCATCAACAGAAATGAAAATTTTATAATTTAGAAAATTATCTAGACTATCCTTCTTTTCGCTAGCTAAAAAGATACATGGGCTTACTGGACCGATCATATAGTTGGCCCATACGACGTTGACAGTATCGCTGCGCTTATGTTAGTAGTCAGTTTTTGCATGGAAATTACGACGAATTTATGGACTTTTTCAGTTTATGGTTCCTCAAGGATATATGTCTTTTTTTTTATCTTTAATAGAAGAAAGAACAATTTATTTTTCAATTATAATTCAACATGAAAAAGGGGAATTAAATTACATTATTCAATCAAGTTAGACGAATGAAATTCAATAATTTCATTTTTTTAATATAGTGAACTACGTAAAGCTTCAATTTTATTTACATGTTAATCTGCAGCAAAGCACTAATGTTCTATTCAAGTTGGAAGTTCATGAAAGAAAGAAAAAGAAAGCTGTGAAAGATGTACAGTATGTGGGTTTTCAGGTACTAACACATCTCAATGGTTATACAAAACCTAAACTAAACCAATGATTTTGGTTATACATGATTTGATATTACATATAAGTAGTTTCATTTAGGATGAACTCTTTAAGCCATTCATACCATTGTTTTTCTTGTAAGGAGTTACTTCACTAAACGTGATGGAAGAAGGGAAACTTAAGGTTACGGGTGAATTTGATAATTATGAAATGACGAAGAAACTGAATAAAATATGTAAACATATTGCCATAATCGCAGCTGAACCCATTAGGGAACCGGAGCAAAACCGCGCCTATAACTCACCCTCGTCCGTCCATACCTCACCCTAGTCCGTCGAGAGTTCGAGGCGAAAACTCGGATGGTTGTATAATCATGTGAATTGAATATATCTTTTGTCCAATTTGTTAAGTATCTCATAAGAAAGAAAAAAAATATAGTTTAAGGTAGCGATCTGTTTGAGCTACATGCATAGGGACCGTACTCTAGTGATATATATCATCGCATCTTCTAGTTTCCTTAATTCTAACATTTTTGTGGTGTTTGTTTACATATTTGCGTTTCGTACGTTTTTTTTTCTAAATTCAGCTGATGATTTGGGTCATCCAATGTGTTTTTTTTTCAATAGTATCAATAAAAGATTGGCACCTTTTCTATTTTTGAAGTAAAATGTTAAACATCTTTAAAAATGATGAATTTCAACGTAACAAATATAATTCATACCAGAAGCTTTGTAATTAACTTTATTAAGTCCAAAACGGAGCAGATTAGATAGTTAAAAATTATATACCAGAATTTGGGGTTAATTAGCAAGCTCACATTTATATACGACAACTTCATCATCTTATCTCTCCAAAGTTTTCGATACTTTTTGGATGTGAAACTACGCTTAAACACTTTCGTATCCAATACTTCAAAAACAGATTATCAAAAGTTGTTTACTGGAATTGTCAAACGGAAGACTCTTAAATTGGAGTTAAACTAGAGCAAATGTTATTAGACTAAAGAAGTTGTTTTTCCAAATTGACACTCGATACTCAAACTCGTAGACAAACTAAACTACAAATGCTACGTTGAATTATGTTTCAAGATGATCCGACCAGATCCTTTTCAAGGTTACAACATGACAACGAAACCGGCTTGGTAATTTGCCTGGAAACGAGGGAGTTGATGAAAACGTATTTCTTGGTTCACAATTAATCCTACACTTGGAGACTTAATGCTATTTAGTCGCTGCAAATTTGTTGGTTTGTCCATCTTAGTTTATTCAACTCGAATCTCGCTTCCGTGGTCCAACATTTGATTTGAATAGCAGCGTCACCAACCAAAAGAAATACATGTTTCTGTTTCCAGTTTTAAAAAGGATAAATAAGCCTCAAGCAGCTATAAAAATATAATTGCCCAAATTTAACTATTTTGAGTTTGATATTGAATGCAATATTTTTTAAAGAGTGTGTTATTTTATTTCCGGAGCCATTTCGACTGATAAATTTATCTTTTGGCCAATAGTTACCGCTTTAATGCTAAAATGAAGAAGAAAAACGTGTTATTTTAATAAAATCTAGTTTAAATTTTTTATAATTATTGTATATATATGCGTGGAGAAGTTACACCAAATTACACTTAAGACATACTCGATTTTTGTCATTTTCAACGTTAAAAGAAAGTTGGTGTTATCCTTGTCTTTTTTTCATGCCCTGCAACTTGCAACTGCTTATATAAAGGACTAAAGAAGGTACACTTTCAATGCCCATTAGCAATTAAGCCACGACTTTTACATATTTTCCAAACACTAATTGAAGAAAACATGCAGGTTCAATTCTTTATCTTTTCCTAATCTATTTTTCTTCATTGGAAGCTTGTACTAATATATGTACAGATTTTTTTCGTTTTTTATTATTATTGCTTATATATGTAGAAATTAGCAATATATCAAATGTCATAATGCTATCCTAATTAGCTCTTTATTATTCATATATAATATTTTCATGACAGGTAGTTGTACTGAAACTGGATGTTCATTGTGAAAGAACAAAAAAAAAAGCTATGTCAACTGTCTGTTGTCTCTCAGGTACACGAACACTCATCAATTGTGTTAACCTAATTTTATTTTACTTTTAAGCCTCAAAAATTCTCTTAAACAAGTGGTTAGTCATAATTATATTTTGATTTGTAATGAAGGAGTTAATTCGGTGGACGTGAACGACGGTAAACTAACGGTGACAGGAGAGATTGATGCCTATATGATTGTGAAGAAATTGAAGAAGATATGTCATACCGAGTTTATCTCGGTTGGACCGGTTAAAGAACCAGAGAAAAAGAAGCCTGATGATCCAAAGAAGCCCGAAACGAAGCCACCAGATGTGATTTATAATTGTGTCCCTCCATATCCACCTTATTACCATCATTTCAACGGATGTTACAATGAAGATCCCTATGCTTGCGTCATCTCTTGAAAAACATATTTTGGTACACTCATCAGTTTCGCCGTAGTCTTTGGTTTTGTTTTGTTCTGTTGTGATTGTTTTAACTGTTCGAGTCCAGTCCATTATACACTAAACAAGACCAAGATTACCACTCCCAGGCCCAGTATATCTCTTAAAAAAAATTCTTGTTAATATAAGCATGCATTTAAATTTAGATGGCGACGCAAAGAAGATGTTAACACAAATCACTAGGTAATATGTCTAATTTGAATGATTTTGTTTCTTAAGTAATTAAATTATATATACTATAAAGACTAAAAATGAACTAATTGTTTTTCTTAATTGATCTTTAAAGTAAATATAACACAATAATCTTAGTATGCTCCAAAATTATCTTTTATTTTGTTTAGAAAGAAGAAGCTACTTAAGAGGTAAAAAAAGATTCAACATCCTTAAAACAGATTTTATGAAAGAAACTTTCTGATTTTAATCTCGGTTTGATTTCAATTCAAGCTTTGGTTTTGATATGATTCAACTTTTTCCTAGAGAACTTGCTCGAGAGGTTCTTATGACCGAAGAAGTCAACAAGGTCCACCAAAATCAACGTTGTCCGGGTCGTACACGCGGAATTCTGAATACTACTACACTTCCGTTTGCTTTCGTTACACTGAAATTAATTTTCAACCAAAACATAAAAAAAATTATAAAATTGATAAAGAATTACTACTTTAACCTTTTTGTGGGCGTTGCAATACTATTATTATTAAAAAAATATAAAAACTTTCCCTTGTGGGTCATATAATATTAATATAATAACACTTGCAAATTTCTTAGAAATTTCTATATAAACTGATTTCATTAGACTTGCTATTGTCATCATCAAAGCTTTCATATTTTAGACTAGATTATGTACCCGCGCGTTGCGCGGGATTTTTATTTATTTTTTTTATCAATGCGAATCTTTGAGTATAAATCTAATCATTTGAATTTAATATTTTTTACTTTATTCATGTGCATTATCTTTCCAATATAGTAAAAAAAAATTCACACGTTTCATTACAATTTCTTTCGTTATCTTCTATGATTCAGTCGTTGTTTCCCGATATTTACTCTCTTTTCGCCTTATATTGACTCATATATAATATACTCGATTGTGAATTAGTTCTCAAGATATATCGTATATCATTTCTCCTTCCTATCTTTGAATACTCAATTCTTTTTTTATAAGTTGCATAATCTTTTTATTAAAGTGAACATCAGAAAATTTTATGAAATGTTTTGTCATAAGGTTTTTTTGACCATGTTTTGGTGGATGTAAAATTCTTTTGTATACAACAAATCTCATATATAAACTCATTGCTATTCACAAACATCGGATTTTAACGTCAAGTTTTTCATTTATCTTGACTGTTTGAAAGATATAAAATTCTCTTTTCACATACATAATTTGACGTATATTATGATTCTAGATAGTATTCTTAGTGTTGATTTTTTCTAAAATATGTAAATTACGAAATCATAAGTTATTCTATTTTTATTTTTTTTTGTCGTCTTAATATTGAAACAAATAAAGAGTTTGCTAGAAACAGAGTAAAACAAAAACAGGGAAAATACGTTTGTAAGAGTAAATCAACCACAATCATTGTCTACCTCGCCGTTCGTCCTCAATCCGGTTATTCTAATTTTAAAATACGTTTATTTAAAAAAAAAAACAAAATCATTCTTCTTTCTAATTAAAAAACTCTTCAATATACCATTAATATTCTAATTTCCAAATAGCATTCTCAAATATTATTATTACACAATTTTATTATTCGATTAGATTATTATTACATAGTTTTATTAAACTCTTCAATATACCATTACTAAAACATAGGTCTTTGTTTTATTTCAAATCACCTTAATTTTTTTTCATTCTATGTTAATCTCCTAAACACTGATTACTATTTAGTTTTTCTTCTTAGGTATTCATTTTTTATATAAAACCCTCCATGTTTTAATTAAGAAAACATTAATAATATAGACAAATTTCTTAATTTAACTATTTATATTATATTATAATTATAAACAATAATATGTACTCAATCCTTCTTATTTTTTAACCGGTATAAGGAATTGATACTTTAACCTTAACAAATATATTCTCAAATTTTAATTTTTTTTTTTTAGAAATAAATTACTTTTTTTATTAAGTAAGAACCTTTAAATTTGGTATTTATTAACTCTTATTTTCTTTATTGTACTAAATAATTGTAATTCTTAAAAGTGATTGTTGTTCCATTAAAATATATGATAAGTTTCCGTTTTCTTATCACTAACTATTTTAAAATAATTACGCATTATATGTTAAGATATAATTATCTTATTTTATATTTCTCCAATCTCAATTCAAAAGTTTCATGTTTAAATATGAATAAGATATAATTATTCATTATCGGTTTTATATTTGTTTTTCCGTTTTTTCATATTTAATTTTTTTGTAATTTTTTTTTAAATGGAGGGTAATAATATAAAGTATGTGAATTAATTTATTTTAATATGTTTTTCTTAATAAATAAGATATATGGATCCTACCAAAATAATAAAATGTGATGACATGGATGTTGATGTGGACACCTTAGATGGAGAGAGAACTCTCTCATTATATATATAGATTATCTATTATCTCTCTTCTCTCTCTCTCTCTCTCTCTCTCTCTCTTAAGAATATCGGAAATTTCTGAAGCTTTGCTATAGTTGATCTCGAGCCATGCCTCCGATGGTACGCCCTCTTTTTCCTTTTATATCTCTTAAAATAATTATGCGTTGATTAATCATTTTATATGAATATTATTTAACTATATATAGTTATGTTAATTAGATTGAAAATATGTAATTAACAATACCGATCTCTCATTTGGAATGACAGAAAGCTGTGCTGCAATTGAGCATTCACGAGGAAAGAATCAGGAAGAAAGCGTTTGTTACTGTTTCTAGATGTCCAGGTAACTTTATTAATTACATTTCAAAATTTATAACATGATATATTGTTGGGAAAATGAACTTATATTCATGTATTTTTTTTTTAAAATATATAGGTGTTACTTCGATAACAATTGATGACAAAACCGGGAAAATGACTGTAGTTGGTGAAGTTGATGTACCGGTTATTGTGATGAAGCTAAGGAAGCTATGTAACACAGAGATTGTTTCGGTTGAAGTTGTTAAACCACCTGAGAAAAAGCCTGAACCGGAGAAACCGGCTCCACTTAAACCAGCTCCAGCTCCAGCTAAACCGGGTGAAATTGTTGCCTGGCCGGTTCAGATGAACAACCCTTACCAATACCATCCTGCCTATGCAAATTCTTACTATCAACCATACGGAAATTCTAGATTTGTAACGGACGAATCAAATTGTGTGATTATGTGATTTTTATAGAGTTATTTCAAATAATGTTAAGTTAGTTTTAATGGAAGAATGTAATTTTTTGAGCTACTGTAATATACATTTCTCGTATGAGCTTATTCGGAAAAAAATTAAGTTACTGTGTGATAAAATTGATCTTTATACGTTATGTTAACTTTTACTTTTAATCATCTTGTAATATTTGATCTTTTTTCCTATAGAGAATATTCTCTATACTTTGTCTTTTGCTAGTATTCTGATCAATTGGATACAAAAATATAACACACACACATAGTTAAGTCGCTCTCAACTCATTTATGAATATCAAGAATCAAGATCGTTCACGTAATACATTCGATTGTCCAAAACTAAAATAATTTTGAAACAATTATTGAAGAATGAGATGTTAGTAAAGATGTGATGGAGAGAGTCAAGATCGGAAAGTCTCCTTTAACAAAACAAATAAAAAATAAAAAAAATCCCTAGAAGATTCCTACGTGTGGGGGATCCACATGTAAATTGAGGTTTCGAGGAGATTTCCTTTCTTGACTATGAAATGGCAGTATTATTCAAGTCTTCTTATCATTTTGCTAATAATATGAATCGCATGAAACAATTCAAAAAGTTAAAATTTTGGATTCATGCATGCATAATGCATTCATTTGATTTTGAGATCTAACAAAACTCTTGTGTCAGATTAAGTCATAACTTCTAAAATTTTAGTTTAAATCATGTGTTATTTATTCAATAAAATACAAGTTAAAAATTTTGTGTTATTCTATTAATATTTTAAATTACAAGGTAGAAATTATGATTTTTTCTGAGAATTTTTTTTTTTTTTTTTTTTTTTGCACAACAAAGATTTGTGGGTATGAAATGTGCTATACTAGTATGATGCAGGTAGCACAATTCGAGGAGTCTTGTTTGTCTAAGAGTAAAGTTATAAATCGAGAGCATGGTGCAAAGAAAACCATTTTACCGTGGTGTGAATATAATTGTTTGTTGAAAAATCGTATGTAGAATCGCTCGCCATAAAAAATTGCATAAATGAATTGATAGTCATGATCATGAATGTTGTTGATCAATTATAATTTGGATAAAAAAGGTTAAAGTTTCTTCAAATTATAGTGTATCAGAAAAACAAAAGAAACGTGTGGGGTATATTAGAATAAAAGGTATTTAGTAATTTTTTTATATATTTAATGAGATTAAACACGTCTACTTTCTATATTTTATACACTAGCGCATTAATCAAAAATAGAAAATTTGACATAGTAGGAGAGTCAGCTTTTAGTCTAAAATTTGGAGAAATGAATATACTAAGGGAATATACTCATCTCTCCCTATAATACTCATCTATAGCAAAATGGAGAGAGTATAAATTAAGATAAAGATTCACATACATTGTTTCCGAATTGTTATTATTTTCTTAAAATTTGAACAATTTCTCGATTAGTGTGTCGTCCTTATGCTAATCTTCTTTGTATTGTTCCAAATTTTATCAAATATTCCCGGTAACAGAAATTTAACCTCAAGAAACAAACATGTGATCTAATTTACACAAATATTCGTTTCCATCACAAACACAAAACCTAGAGATCACAAACTACTACTTGTTACCTTTTTGTTGTTGTTGTTAAAGATCTTGCTACTTATTACTTTCTTCTTGACTGCCTCGATGATCTCGGGATTTAAACTTTTCTTTTGGCAGCTTCGAATTATTTTCGTGTGGCTCTGAGTAGGCATTGCTATATGATAACTAGAGAGAACAACGATAACATTTGATCAAACTTATCTTTCCTCTCATCTCTTTATAACATCTTTAAAAATTATTAAAGAACAATTGTGACTTAAATCTCGGTTTGATTTCGATTTTATCTATTGGTTTTGGTATGATTCAACTTTTCCAAGAACACACTGTAGAGAACTTTCCTGAGAATTGCTTATGTGACCAAAGAGTCAATAGGGTCAACAGATGGTCCGGGTCGACCCGGTCGTACACGCGGCATTCTGAATGTTAACCAAAATAATATAGAATGACTACTTTACTCTTTAGTCTTTTATAACAACTTTTTGGGGTCATACTCGCAAATTCCTACGCAATTTCTATATAAATAGATATCATAAGACTTGCAATATGTCATCAAGAAGCTTCGATATCTCAATCTATCTCTACTCTTTCTCTCTTTAAAAAAAAAACAAAATATCCAAAATTTCTGGAGTAGTTTCTCGAGCCATGACGACCGCGAAGGTACGCATTTCATTTTATCATCCTTAGACTATGCGTTAATTAATCGTTATATACTATTCTAACTATAAAATTATCATTTTTTACATTGAAACTATGCAATTATCCATACTGATTTCTCATTTGCAATAACAGAAAGTTGTGTTGCAATTAAGCATTCACGAGGAGAAAATCAGGAAGAAAGCGCTTGTCACCGTTTCTCGATTTTCAGGTATCTATTATGAAATTTCTATTAGAAATTTTTAATATGATATATAAGGAAAATAAACTTGTATTAATGATTTTTTTTCTTTATATATATAGGGGTTACTTCGATAACAATAGATGACAAAAGTGGGAAAATGACGGTAGTTGGAGAAGTTGATGTACCAGTTATCGTGATCAAGCTGAGGAAGCTATGTCACACAGATATCGTTTCGGTAGATGATGTTAAACCACCTGAGAAAAAGCCTGAACCGGAGAAACCAGCTCTACCTATACCGGCTGAATTTATTACATATCCGATGAACTACGCGTACCAATATAATCCTCATGCCTATGCAAATTCTTACTATTATCAACCATACGGGAATTGTAGAGTAGTAGACGAACCAAATTGTGTGATTATGTGATTTTTCTAGAGTGTAATATTAAGTTATTAAACACTTATAATTTTGATGGAAAAGTGTAATTTTCTTAGATACTGTAATATACATCTCTCGTATGAGCTTATTGGGAGAAATAATTCAATTTATGTATTACAAAAAGAATCTTAATACGCTTTATCAACTTTTACGTTTAATCATATATAGTAGTAATTAGTTTTTATTGTTTTCCATTATGGTTTCATTTACGTAGACTTGTTGAATATATTCTATATATTGTCTCAAGTTAGAATACTAATCAATATGTAGCGAGGGATTGGTAATTGGTGGAATGGGATCATAATTTGGATACAAATTAGATATATATATTATCTAACACATAGTTAAGTCGCTCTCAATTTTTTTTGACTCATGAACATCAAGAATCAAGATCGTTCACGTAACACATGATTGTCCAAAATAAAAAGTAATTTTGGACTATTAGCGAGTGAGAGAATAATGAAAAAGAAAAAAAAAAAAAAAAAGAAAGAAAAAGAGATGGAGAGAGTCAAGATCCGAAAAGTCTTCTATAACAAAACGAAACAATAATAAAAGACTAAGCAAAAGTCTAGCGTGACTTGGAGGGTCGACATGTGGATTGATGCTTACGAGTATATTTCGTTTCTTGAGTTTGAAACGAAGAATTATTCAAATCTTCTTACCAAAACAACTTTAATATGAATCGCCAAAAATCTTAAAACTTTAGATTTATGAATTGTGTTGATTGCAAAATTAATACAAATCTTGTATTATTTAATTGATGTTATTTACACAATAAATTTAGATAAAAAACAAAATTTGGGGTACTCTATTAATAATTTCGAAATATAAACCAAAAACATAAATTTGGCCAAAAAAAAAAAACATAAACATAAACAAAAAATAGGCTGTTTTACTTTTAGGTGATTTGTTTATTGGATTGTTAACTTTTTCTAATCTTTTTTTTTTTTGCTACACTAGTTCTTTAATATTTGTCAAAATGTTGTGTTATATTGTTTGATTAACTAAATTCTAAATCCTGGCTCAAGTAATGAAAATTATTAAAAGAGTTCGTTGGTTTTATGTCCACTTGGATTTTTTCAATAAAATTATATGTCAAAATCCATATGGCTTTAAGAATATATTTTTTTTTTCTTGGTCAAATATGGCTTTAAGAATATGTATTAAATCATTTATTGGATTGTATATTTAGATGAATTTTGAAACTAAGCATCATCTTGTGTTATTCAACTATTTATGATACAATCTTTGTCAAAATATTATGTTAACTAGATTTTAACCCGCAGTGTACGATTTGTTTTTAAAATTAGTGATTTTTAAAATTTAATGGGGATATATTATATAAAAAAAATTGCAAATTATATCATTTTATAAAAAAAATTATATTTTATAGTTTCCAATTATTATTAAGTAATGCTATACCACAAGACAATTTTTTTTAATACAATTTACTTTAGTCAGGATCATTCGATATGTCTAATATTTGTGGTGTTAAAAAGTAATAAAATGAAGATTTAACTATATTGAATCAGCGGGTTAATGATGTTTAAAAATTTTTTGATTTAAATTTGTCTCTTCATATAACCCCGTCTTTCAATATAACCCCGTTCTGCAATATAACCTTGTCTTGCAATATAACCGTCTCATGTTATTTTAACTCCTTATATATGTTCAAATATTCTTATATTATAAACTTTGTACTAATATATGAATTATAATATTTAAAACTTCTTAAAAACTTGTCCCGTTATATAACTTTGTCTACCAATATAATCTGTCTCGTGTTATTGTAACTCTTTATATATGTTCGAATGTTCATAATATTATAATTTTTTTATTGATTTTAAATATATGAATTATATTATTTAAAACTTTTTAAAAGTTTAAAATTTAACATTTCTGGTAAAATTAAGCAGTTAAACTAAAAAACCGAATGAAACGGTATATGATTTTAAATTTGGATGCTTATTAAGTTGAGCTTCATGTTCATTCGGATTTGGATTCATTTTGATCTTATTTATAATATGATTCTGAATCAATATCTAAACATTTTAGCCGATATGGGACGTTGAACACACACCTTTTTCATCAATTAGGTAATATATACCCGTTTTAAAATTTTTGAATCCCAATATATGCAAAAAACAAATTGAGATTTTTTTAACTTTATGTATTATACGACGATTCAAAATAGTTAAAAAATATTCAAACAAAGATGATAGGAGAATTGTATTTCTAAATCCTAACCAAATCTTCTAAATATCTATATTTTTAAAATGGAATATCCGGTTCATAATTTCGGATATGTTTTGATCCGATCCAAAAAGAATATGAACTATCCGGTGTAAAATTTATGAAATCAATTTCTTATCGGGTCGGATATCAAATTTGTCGGATAATAATTTAACCCACCCGCTAAAAATGTACTTCAAAAATACTAGTATAGATTCAACAATTTATGATATGTGAATCTTAGCTAAAGTTGTATCTTAGTGGATTATATTAATATCGCCGTTTGTGCCTGCGCACGGATTCCCACTATGCATATAAATCATATAAAACGTGAATTTGAAAATGTATTTTCTGAAGCAAGTCCTACTTGTCCCAATCCAGCAACCACAATTCAGAGTTGTGCTGATTCTAGTATGGTTTCCATTACAATGGAAAACAGTTAAGCTTCAGTGACATGTCTCTGATAATTCCTATAGAGCCCATAATCGCTATACACTTGACTTTGAGGGTTTCCTGTCTGCACTTCCCTCCTTCATGGAGATATATTTGATGGAACATTCCTCCTTTATGGAGAGACCACTTACTATCTCGTCCTCTTTGAGTTAGCTAAACTCTTCCGTTATGTAACCACTTGATCTTCTAATGGAAACAAAGCTTTTGCATAGGAAAAAAGAAAAAAAGGACCAAAAAACTGAACCTAGATCATTCATACAAACCACTCGTTGTCCTCGGCATCTCTTTCAACTTTCCTCTGGACAGCTTCGAATTCTTCTTCGTTTGACTCTTAGTCAACATTGCTACCATAGGTATATAGAGACAAGCGACAAGAACACTGAATCCTTCTCTTTCCCGCATCTCTTCAACATCTTTAAGAGATTAAAAAAGAACCGTTATGACTTCTATCTCGGTTTGATTTTGATTTCAGCTTTTGTTTCTATGTGATTGATCAACTTTTCCAACACTCTGGATAACTTGCTTGAGAAGTTCTTACGTGACCAATGAATCTAAATACTGCACTTCCTTTTGATTTCGTTACACCACAATTATATTTTCAACCAACTCGGGAAAATTATTACTCAAAACAAATTAATAGACATTTACTACTCTAATCGTTTACTACTCTAATGCTATTGATATGTAAAAATACAAAATGCTTGTGGATCATATATCTAATAAATCAGTGCAAATTTCTACGTTAATTTATATTTAAACAGATATCATTTGACGCAATTGTCATCAAGAAGTGTTAGGAGATCTCAGAGATTACAAGATCGAATTAAACATATTTCCATATTGTTATTAGAAAAGTTAACATTTGTGTAATATTGCCTTATTGTTAAATAGGTAGGTTTCTTATAATCATATATGTCAAAACTTGCTAATCAAGTTATAACTTTGTATAAATATGTATATTGAATAGAAAAAAAAAAAATGTATATTGAATAACTTTGGGGCTAATCACTTCTTCGGTATCTCAATTCATCCCTCTCTTTGAAGTTTTCTTGAGCCATGGCCGCGAAGGTACCCACCTTTATCTCGTTTTAGCTCTCTTTAAATAACTATGCGTTGATTAATCATTTATATATATATGTACTATTTAACTATTGTTATAGTAAGTCGATTGAAACTATGCAATTAGCCATAGTAATCTCTTGTTTGAAATGGCAGAAAGCTGTGTTGCAATTGATTATTGACAATGAGAAAATCAGGACGAAAGTGTTTGTGACCGTTGCTGGATTTACAGGTATCTTTGTAAGTTACTTTTCTAAATTTGTAGAATGATATTGTGGGAGGGGAAATAAATTTTTATTCATGAAATATTTTTCTAATATAGGTGTTACTTCGATAACTATGGATGACAAAACCGGGAAACTGACGGTAGTGGGAGAAATTGATGTGCCAATTATCGTGATGAAGCTAAGGAAGCTATGTAACACAGAGATTGTTTCTGTTGAAGTAGTTAAACCACCTGAGAAAAAGCCTGAACCGGAGAAACCGGCTCCACCTAAACCAGCTCCACCTAAACCGACTGAAAATATTGCGGCTCCGATGAATTACCAGAACCAATACAATCCTGCCTATGCCTATCCTGATTCTTACTATCAACCAAATACTTGTGTGATTATGTGATTTTTCTAGAGTTATTTCAATAATGTTAATATATATGAACACATAATTAGTTAATTTTGATGGAAGAGTACTGTGATTCATGTATGATAAAATAATGTTAAGTTTTGTTAACCCGTACCATTACAATCATGCCTAAGCAAATTTTGATGTTAACATTTCTCGGGGGATTTTTATTTGAAAAAAAAATCAATATATACATGACAAAGTTGATCTTAAAGTGTTAACTTTTACTTTAAATCCTCTGGTAATAATTAATCTGTTTTTACCTAGTCTTTTGTTTTCCATGGTTTCATTCACGTAAGTAGAATTTTTTCCTATGCTGAATATATTCAATAATTTGTCTTATTCTTTGTAATTTAGTTAAACCATGGAAATTTCGAATCTTTGACCCATATTTTCTCCCGGTATCCGAAGGCAGCTTTTAGTTCATCTTAATTTAAAGAATGTTTCTCCGATCCGTCTCAAAAAGAGATTGAATCCGTCACACAAAAGAACTAACCTCTCGTACTATCACTAAACCACCACCTCTTGGCATATGTATTCAATAATTTGTCTCTGGCTAGTTCTAAACTTGTCCTCAATATGCTGTGAGGAATTGGTTGAATCGGTTCACAATTTAGATACAAATTCGATAAAAATAGTTAAGTCTCTCCAGAGCCGTAGCAACGATTATGAGGGTCGCCAGCGGAAAAAAAAAAGGGCCGCTCTAGAAAAGTGTATACTTATAAAAAAATTTAACCATAAAAAAAAAAAACAAAAAACAAAAAAAAAAACTTCTCTCACGCTTCAGGTGATTCGAACTCATGACATAAGATATGTAGTGTATGACATAATACCACTAGGCTACCAAAATACATTGGTATTTGAGGGCCAAAAATATTAATAACTTATCGGAGGGCCGCAGCTCTCGCTTCTCTTGCTTCTATCCAGCTACGGCTCTGAGTCTCTCTCAACTATGTAACCAATTCTTTTATTTTTCTGTAATATTATTAATATTAAATAGAAAATTTACTTAAAATTAATATTTCCTAAAATAAAAATAATTATTAAAGCCATTTTATTATTTATAAGGGGAGATAAACTGTCCCATATATTGTCGGAATTAATTTTTCCGTTATTTTTTTGTGGATCCACGAACCCAAAAATCACTTTGAAGATTTAAAGTAGCAAAATTTTCACGTTGACGGTTTACTGTAGGAGTTCAAAATCCTTGAAAGTTTAAAATGGTCGTGGTTACTATTAAAGGTTTTTATGGGATTTTCCCCAAAAAAAAAAAAAAATCAACATTATTATTATTCATACATTACCATCATCAAGGGTTTTTTAACAAAGGCTCTTAGTAAATTTTTAGTATTAAAATCTTAAGATTTACCTCTTACAAACATGTTTTGGTTCTTAGCTAAGAAACCTTTCTTACCAATCTTACTATTTACAATTTAATTAAATATTTTTTAATACTTAAGATTTACATAAGATTTGGCTAAGAACCTACCAATAATCATGGTCTTTAGTCTTCTTTCCACATCTCTACCCAATTCTCCTTTGCCTCTTTGAGTCCGAAAAGAGAGTTAGTCTTGGTCGGGTCCAAGTTTGTGGACAAGCTTCCGTACGCAATCCCAAGAGCCGACGAACCAAAGGTCACGAGTGTGGTCAAGAATGGAACCCACAACGGCACGTCCCAGACTTTCCTATCCTTCAAGACTTCGAGTATTTTCAAGATTGCCACTCCTAGGCCTAGTGGTGTTCCTACCGACACGACGATCCTTCCCATCATCCGCTCGAACACTTCTTGAGGTATCGGCGGGTCGTCTTCCTGGTCCGGGTCAGGCCGGCCCGGGTTTTCAGAGCTTTTAGTAGATTGAAACCCCTTGGGTCCTGCGTGGAGCTTGGATTCCCATCTTGGTTTGTTGTTAGGAATTAGAGTTTTTGGATTTTGAAGTTCGGTTTTGAGAGTTGTTCTTGAGAGAGATGATAATGGTAGTAAATGGTGTGAGCACAAGAGAGCTCTCATTTTCTTCTTCTTCCTGTAATGCTTTTCTTTATTAACCTTATCTACATGTATTATATGGTTTTAGTCTTTAGGTGACATATTTTGTTTTTATCTTTGGGATATGTTCATTGCCACACATTTCCAACTATTTTATCCTTCTTTATTTTATTTCTTCTTTCCATGAAAATAAAGAATTCGTTGGAATATTTTCTTCAATTTTGAATTTTTAAGAACATGGAATGAGTGTTCCGAAAATTATAAATTTATTTTTCTTCACTTCAATTCATCTATATATAATAGATCCAATTTTACGAACCATTTGATCTTGATAACTTTTCATACGATTTCCTCCACACCTGCAAGGAACAACGCAAACAATAAGCAAAGTGGGGAATTAACTTCCAGTGCAAGCAAGAGACTACAAAGCAATGTCTTGAGAACCACGTTACGTACCCTACTAGGAGATATATAGTAATAACGCTCGTTACTGTCCGGAGAGAGCACGGAAGGAGGTTGTGCCGGTGGAGAAGCGTGAAGTGTTGGCCGGAGAAACGAAGACTGGTGGCGGTAAGGTGAATTTATTGGTGACCGGAGCAGCGTAGAGATCATGAGGCTCGGTGACAGAGGACTTGAGCGATACGGCGAGATAGGAGATGCCAGCTCTGAAGCCCAAGTAGCAGTTTCCGGCGAATTTCCCGATATTGGCATGTTTATTGTTATTCTGTAGTAGGAAAAATATTCAAAGTCCAGTGAAAAATACTGTAAATTGAAATCTACTGTATGATTGATAAATGGTGATCATACCTTTTATGAAGTTGGACGCACCGGTCCGTCTCATCAAATATTTCTTCCTTCAAGGTTCATCAAATGGTTAAGTAAAAAAAAACAATCACAAATGTCATGTTAGAAAACTAACATCTGTAAGAGGAGTACCTGTATAAGTTCTTCCACAACATCTTCCAGAGTTATAATCCCAATGATTTCTTCATCTTCATCAGCAATAGTATCGATGTATCGGATTGGACTTTGACGATTACTTTCGCTGGAGTTCATCACAGGAATGCTCAGAACGTTGGCATCTTTATTAGGCGATCCTGAAAAAAATACAGAAAACATAAATATTCTTATCTCAATACTTTATATGATTTTGGATTTTATGCTCTCTCATATATACAAGTCTCTTAACCATTGATGCTCTTGTCGTGGACTGGAGTGTTAATATTAGTATAGTTCTTGGTCCCAACGACAGCAGCCATGTGGCTTCGACCTGTTTGGAAGATGTTGAGGATGTCGTAGAGAGGTAAATTCAAATCGACCCTGCTTGCAGATTTTGGAAGAAAATTAAGCTTTGATCGGTCCAGCTTCGAAAGCAGTTGAGTTGGAGAGTATATATGTATATTACCTTGGCATTCTTCTGATAGGGAGATCTCTGATCGGTGTCTCGTCTTCAGGACGGACTTTGATCAAGTTCTTTACCTACTCAAACCAAAAAAACAATTCAAAAATCATGCAAGTGTTTCTCAAGATTATCGTGTGTAATAGATTTGTTGCTTACTCACCAGAATAAATCCGATGATAACGCTAGGATTCACAGAGTATATAGGTATTCGGCTATGGCCTTCACTTGCTATTAATCCCATTGTCTTTCTGTGAGGCCCAAAGATGAGGATAAGAATAAAGAACTAACTGAATATATTATATATATATTGTCTAAAAGAAGAAGAAAGAGGAATTCCAAGAGAAGAACATACTCGTCGAGCTTAGAGTTTATATCGAGTGAAAAGATCTGAGAGACTGGTGTCATTGCGTCTTTGGCACTCTTCTGAGACATGTCCAGAGCTCCTGATATGATTGTTGTTTCATCGTGAGTCAGTTCACCGCCTTTTCCAGCCTAATTGTCAGAAAAAGGACATGGAGAAAGAAGAAGAAAAAGACATGGATTCACCTCACATATTGACAAAACAATAAAAGCATCTCAAGTTCTTGAAACGAACCTCGTTCCCGTGCATATACACAAGTGACTTAAGCTCTGCTCGTCCTAAAAGTGTAGAATACCTTTTTCCAAGCAACAAATCGAGTAGCTGAAGCATTGAAAGAAGAAAATTTTGGAGTACTCTTTTAACTTCAAATGATTTCTGCGTAATTTATAAACTCAATAAATTCTACTAAAAGTTCCATTGATGTTAAGCTGATTGAATTACCTTGCTGATTGGATAAGATAATGGGAAGAAGACTATGATAATCAAACGAACCAAAACAGATAGCTTTGCCCCGATGCTCAGCCCGTATCTAGAGCATACAGCTTGAGGTATAATCTACAACAATGGAAAAAGAACAGTAATCTATTGCCTATTGGGTGATGTTAAAAATCAGATTAGCAGAGAAAGCTAATATAAATTCCATTCACCTCGCCAAATGCAAGTATGAGAGTCACGGATATCAGGATAGCACCCCAAGCTGGAAGCAGGGAATCGACAAAGATCGGTAGAGCCTTTTAGATTTTATTGAAACAGAGTCAGTAAAAACTGCATCATAAGTTCTAAAAAGCCAAAGTGTGCACAACACAAATAAGTATCCAAAGATATACGCATAAGCTTGATACCTCCATTGCCAAAGCATTGCCTATAAGGAGTGTACACAAGAGAAGGTGCTGGTTTTTAACGAGTGGCAGAATCTTTTCTGGCCATTTTGTTACAAAATTTTTGAAAGGGTGTTAGTACTTAGTATGAATATGTAGTAATAAAGTATGAGTAGGTCAATGGGTTCATGAAACTGACCAGCGTTTTTGCGCTCGTGGGGTTCACCGGCTTTGATCATGACCTCGAGCTCAACAAGACTAAGGGACATGAGCCCAAGAGTCAGTCCTGACATCAAACCTGCAAAAGCCACAAGAGCAACACATACGAGTAGGTACACCCAGAACATAGTCGCACAGCAAGGGACATCATCTGCAGCCATTTCTTAAGTAATTTAGAAGGTAAAGACTAAAGCTATGAATGTTGAGACAGAGAGAGAATGAGTTTGGGAATCACAGGAGCTTAAATAGTAGGAGTGGATGACATAGTATACCAACTGCTACACCAAGAGAACAGAGTCCAAGAACCACCATCCAAAATTACATATTAAAGAAGTAATTTCATTCTGATATCAGCTATTACATAAGGTAATAACAAATTCCCTTTTGCAAGAACCTTTGCATTCACAATAAAAAATTTGTTCATCGGCCCACAAAACACAAATTTGATGTCCACTATCTCCAATCATTGTCACATTATCATGCTCCAGTGACCTGATAGCAGACAGAAATACCAGAAAGTCTTATAAAGTGATGTTGGGAAAGACAGCAAGTAAAGTTGTGAATCAAGTTCAAACTCACTTATTCGATATTTCAATTCAATTTTGTTGTGCCATTCTTATACAAAAGGTGTGAGGAGAAGAACAAGATGCAACCACTGGCATTGTCAACTCAGAGCGTCTGAAGCTATATTCACTATAGTCAACCAAACCAAAGAACACTTAATGTTCTGTGTGGTCTTTAACACCAAATCATTGACGTCACGAAAAATCTATTTTAAGTGTTTCTAGGATATTCAGAAACGCTAATACAACAAAGTATGTTCCAAAGGAGCAGGTGATAAATGATGATACCCAACCTAGATAGCAACCGATTCATAAAGAAAGCAAACGACGGTTCAAAGGACCACAACAATAATAATATCTGTAAGGGTCAAGATAAGAAGTGACCTCCAGACCAAAACAAGCCGTTAAAGAAGCTTTAAATAGTTCAGAAGAACAAAACCAAGAAGCTCTTTTAAAAAATTGGCCAACTCCACCAACTAATGGAAGCAAGACACAAAATTGCTACATCAATATCTTCTTCAGGTTTTTCTGCTAACAAATCCCCTACAATATACTGATCATACTCCACTAGCAAATTATTTATTCATTTGTCACTTTTCATGAGAATTACGTAATAATGAAAAAAAAAAAAAAAATAGCAACGTAAATTTTATTTAGCAACGTAAAAAAAAAATTGAGATTATTCATACCTTGGACTAGCAATACGCGATATTGGCGTAGACGAACACCAAACTAGATTGTGATGCGAGACTTAAGTATCCTAAATTTTGCATCACAATCTAATGTGGTGTTCTTTGATCTTTTTCTTGCTTTTTCCGGCGACCTGAGCCAGTAACATCCCCGTTAATCTTCTTCTCCGGACGACCAAATGTTTGTTTACGAACAATCGTGTCGTTCGTCTCTGAAAGCAAGAAGCCAAGTAAAACGGCACAGTGTTTTAATCTCTAGTCATCAAACAGGAGGTAGTATTAAAAGCACTTCCCAATAGATTATCGACACGTGGATAAAATGACGACTCCGCTTACGTTTGACCTCGTCGTTGACATTTTTATTTTTGATGAACGGAAAAAAAAAATTCCAAAAATTTCAAATCCCATCGCAGGGGGAAATGAAATCTCACTTAGAATTGTGAAACAGTGAGAAGTAGAAGGAAGAGAGGAGAACAAAAAAATGTCGAAGAAACTTAGTGCGAACGCCATGGATGATGTTGATCGATTGTTTCAGTGTTTCAAGTGTGGAATTTCTCCGCCTGGTGAGCTTCTTTTACTCTCTCCCACTAATGGAAACCATGTTCTGTGATTGCTCGAAGAGAGATCCATTGCTTTTTGTAATTGAATTGAAAGTTTGGTTAAACGCAATTGACAATTGAATCTTATGTTCTTCTACAACGAGACCTGTAACCAAAAGTTTGAGATCTTTGTAGTATATAACCAAAGAATGCATAGCAATATACGAAATTTCATTGATAATATTTATGTGTGGAATATTTCAGCTTCTGCTATGAGAGAAAAGAAACGGAGCAAGAAAATGGTGAATCCAGAAAATGACTCACCTGGGACCTGTAAGAAGTTGCAGCTAAGTTCTTTGTCTAGATTATCTGGAAAAAAAGGACAAAGAAATCAGATTGATGGAGGTGTCAGTCTAGACTCTGTTGTATGTATCTTGAACACAAAGTTTACTTGTCGTGTTTATTGTGTTTTATGTTGTTGTGGAGTGAATTTTGATTGTCTTTTTATGTTTCATATTTCAGTCTGGTTCTAGGAATGTGAAAAAGAGTGTTGGGAGGCAGTTTTCACCCATTGTATTTTACGGATCTCCAAATGGCGTTCCTCCGAAAAGACCGTTGAGTTTGTTAAGGCTCTTGCGTGAGATACGTATTGATCTTAGTGAAGAAAGGAAAGCAATCTCCAGGTAGTCTATGAATAAAGCTGGTGCTGGCTCTTCTTGGAAGATTTTCATTTGTGTTTAGAAGATTTTTAACTGTTGTGTATCATGGCATGGTCTTCATTTTGCTTAGGAAAGGAGTTTGGGCTACATTTCCTCGGCAAGATGAAGCGATTAAGTTTGGAAAAAGGCATGACAATGTGCGGATTTTTAGTTATCAAGATCATTTTAGTGGCCAGAGAAGGTTTCTGGTTTCAACATATGAAGAATTCTGGAATAGGTTCTTTTATTTCCCTTCTTAACATTACTTGAGTTAAGTGTTGCAAGTCAGGATCACTTCTCTCAAGTGTTTTAATTCATTTACCCTTCTACCTTAGATACAAATCTATGGATCCAAGGCACCGACACCATTATGAAGTGATTCAAGAGGTATCTCGATCTCATTCCCTTATGCTGCCATAGACTATTTTAGTATGTTTCTACATACCTCTCACAAGACTAGATCTTCCAGTCTTGCAACAAATACGCATCTCTGGCTTTTGATTCACTGCATTTAATTTCAACGGCTTCTCAGGGATTGCCATGCCATATGTACTTTGATTTGGAGTTCAATCAGAAAGAAAATGAAGGAAAAAATGTGGATGAAATGGTTGATATCCTGGTATCAGTCATTCTTGAAGCCTTGCATGAGAAATATGCTATTGAAGGACAAGAGGACTGGATAGTAGAGCTTGATTCCTCGACTAAAGGTACTGTAATATATATGCTCTTCCAACTGCTAATTGAATATGAGGTGTCCTTTTTGCTTCAGCTTTATTCTCTGAAGGTTGAAAATGCCAGTTATTATAAACTGTTTTTCTTCTGTATGAGAAGGTAGGTTCCCTTTGACTAAAGAATTCCTTAAAAATTCATATGCAGATAAGTTTTCTCGTCATGTAATTGTTATCATTCCAAAGGTTGCCTTTAAGGATAACTCACACGTTGGTGCTTTTGTAGGAGAGGTATGCTTCAATCGATATTTCACTTGTATTGCCTGATAAGATGGTTTCCTTAGTTGCAACTTGCAAGTTGGGAGGTTATGTTGGGCATGGCTTATTTTCATCTTGATGTTTCTTCAGCTATGCTCACGGATAGTAAATGCGAAAGAAACAGATGAAAGGTTGCGCAAGCTGTTTGTTCACAAAGAGGCTAATGATTCGGCATCCCTACTTTTTGTGGATACTGCTGTTTACTCTAGAAACCGTTGCTTTCGTCTTGCACTATCATCAAAAGCTGGAAAGGCGTCGGTTCTTTTACCTACAGGACGATTCAAATGTAAGGATATGGTAAGTCCACCTTCATTTAAGTCTCTCTGTTGTCCCTCACTTTCTTTTCCATGTTACTATCTCAGCATCGACTTCTTGTTTTGCTTTAGAACAGTTCATTCTAATTCCAGTATCTAACAAGATCATTGGTACCCAAACAGGGTGAACCAGATGTTTTCATGACATCCTTAATCTGCAACATAGAATCAGATTGTGAGAAGCTTCTGGTTTGCAAGATGGAATCAGACTGTATGAAGACACTTTGCTTCGACACAGAGGTAATTTTTTCATCACTTAAATCACACGTGTGCTTTTGGCTTCCAATTGCATCTTCCTTCCACATATACTTGAGGGACCACAAATGTCTACGCCTTTAAACTGAACTGTTTGGAGATGGCAGGTGAACAGTAACAATCTTGTCAGAGACCAGAATGCTCAGAGGTTTCAATTGGATGCTTGCACAAGTGACATGTCAACATCGTATTTTGGGGGCAAGTCCCCGTTCCCGCAACTGGACCAATTCGTAGAATCCACTGCTTCCACTGGGAATGTCCCAGGTTGCATTTAATCTTTGTGCAATGTGTTGTGTTATGGAGAGATCTCAATTCTCAACTTCTTAAATTATATATGCTGTGATATTTAGGGAAGATACGCTGCTGGTACTGGTTCTCAGAAGATGGCCTGATTGTGTACAGCATGTTAAGAAACAGATATTGCGAACGGATTGGCAGGGAACATAAAAGCAATCATGGTACCATCTGCTCTCAACCCATTAATGCTATATGAGCTTCGAGTATTTTTATGTACTCTCTGCACCAAATAACATTTTTTATGCTAACATTTGTTCAAACAAACTTTGTTGTTTTAGTGATGTACATCGTTGATCTCAGAAGGGGAATCTATTATCAGAAATGCTACGATCCAGACTGCCGAGGTGTGTATCCTTACTCATTGTCTTTGCAAACAATCTGAAAGCAGAATCTTGTTCCTAAGAAAAAAACGAACTGTCTGCAGATTATCGGTCTCCAATACGTCCAGTTCCAGATAGTTACCTTCCTGAAGATATAATTTACCATCAAGGAGATACACAGAATCTCTGTGACAACCTTTACTCTGAAGGAGAATGTTACGTTGATAACGAACGCGATCCAGATAGTGCTGCTAGCAGAGGCTCATGGTGGCTTGAAGCAGTTAAAGTCGCAGATGATCTTGAAAGCAAACCCAAGACTCTTGAACCTCTTATCTGGGTTAGTTGACTTCTTGTTATTATTGACTTAAGACTCGGTCTAATTTTCTCGAGAATATTAAAAGAAAAGCTTTGGCTCTAACAGGAGAATTGCGAGGAAGATGATGACTGGTGGGTAGCAGCTGCAGAAGAGTCACTAAAACAAATCGCATCTTTAAGTCCTTCCCCAAAATACCCTTGATTTAGACATATTTACCTAAGACAAGACCAATCTGGGTTCGTCTTCTTCGAAATTCCATTTCTCTCCTTAAAACCACCATCGTGTCCTGAAATCAACAAATCTCTCAAAATCCAATGGCTTCGTTACCAGTTTTCATACCAGCCGAGTCTTTTCCATCGATCCTCTCACATGAAACCTTGATCCATCACTTTCAGACCAATCTTCCCAAACATTCTTCAACAATCACAAGCCCTGTCCGGCAAAACTACACCGTTTCATCACCTTCCTCTCTCCTCCTCATGCCTTCTTGGTCGTCTTCTTCTTCTCTCCCTTACATGGGCGTCAAGCTCGTGACCTATTTCCCTCATAACTCCGCTCAGAACTTACCTGGCATCCATGGATCCTACACACTCTTCAGCTCCACTACAGGCCAAACCCTAGCTACAATGGACGGTACTGTTTTAACCCTTTACCGTACTTCCTCTGTTTCAGGGTTAGGCTCCAAAATCCTAGCTAGAGACGATAGTCAAGTACTGATCATGGTTGGTTCCGGTGCTCTCGCACCACACCTGATTAAATCTCATCTAGCTGCAAAACCAAGCTTGAGAAGAGTGGTCATATGGAACAGAACTCATCAAAAGGCTCAGGGTTTAGCTGAAACTCTCTCTAAGGATCCTCAACACAAGGAAATCTCATTCGAGAGCCACGATTCATTAGATGAAATCATTCCTCTGGGAGATATCATAAGCTGTGCAACGAACTCAACTGTTCCATTGGTCAAAGGTGAGTTCTTGAAACCCGGAACTCATCTTGATCTGGTTGGATCGTTTAGCCATGAAATGAAGGAATGTGACGACAATGCGATACAAAGAGGGAGTGTGTTTGTCGATAACGACACTGCGATGATAGAAGCAGGAGAGCTCGTGGGAGCGTTTGCAAGAGGAGTGATTAAGAAAGAAGACATTTGTGGGAATTTGGTGGAGTTGATCAAAGGTGACAAAGAAGGGAGAAAGAGTTCAACA